AATTTGTATCAAGAATATTCCTCAATATTTACAATACAATATTTACTTTACAATACAATAGTAAAGTACCTTTTTTATAATGTTATAATTTAAATTAAAAATTTATTATTTTTATTTTCACTTTTTCATCGATTTCGCGATTCTCGTCATCTGGTTCCCGAATAATTTTCAACAGGTATGTCGTACTTTAATCTTTCAAATCTCAATTCTCTGCTTTGGAAAAGGGCCACATGTCGATACTTTTTTCGTGAAAAAATTCGAAAATATACGTTTTGTTAGATTTATTAATCTTACATTTAATTTAAATATTTTAATATTTTAATATTCAATATTTTTATACATATGTTTAATTAAGAAAATAATATTTAGTTGAAAGGTTCCGTCAAGTTAACACATTTTTTCCGGTGAAATGATAAATTAATCACGCGGTACCTATTTTTATTTTCAGAGCTAGAAAAAATCCGCGAAAATAAAATGTAAAAAAAAAAATAAAAAAAATAAAAAAAAATAAATAAAAAAATAAAAAAATAAAAATAAAAAAGTGTCGGTGTGGTTTTTTCTGCTAAAGTCTAAAATCTCGCGATCGCACATCGAAGGAGAGCGACGAAGGGTGATGGCAGCTCCGGAAAATTGCAGCGCGCATTTCGGATTCTAGGACGTGCGAAGAGGTCGTTGAAAAAGCGATAGGAGGAGAAGGAGACGAGACAAAAGATTAGGCCGGGTCCTCGAAACCTTCGGGGACTTGATGGAAGTGGAAACCAGGAGTACCCCATGCGTATTCTCCCTGTCTCTTTCTACGTGCGGACGGACTTTCCTTTCACCATATAACTTCGGTTCGCGTGCGTGCGTGCGTGCGTGCGCGCACGCACGTGTATCTGTAGTATGTGGGTGACGTCACTAAAAGCTCTCTCGCCGCTAATGCATTTGCGGAGAGGGATCCTTGGAGGAGGGGTGGGAGGGGGAGGTGGAGGAAAGAGGTGGCGCCAGTGCCGTATCTATGGAGCGTGAAGAATCGACGGCGAAATCATCGCCGAGAGATGAATTGATACGCCGGAAGAAAAAAGAAAATACATAACTTACTAGGCCTGCAACAATCAAGTATCACGAAAAAAAATTTTTATTTTTTAATTAAACATTTTTTATTATTTTATTTTTTAATTAAACATTTAATTATTATTTATTTTTTAATTAAAAATTTTCTACTTTGACATGAAATACAAAATATCTTGAAAATATTTAGTTATTGATAATCCTATCTTAATATTTTTTTTTTGATAAAGTAGACAAATTAATTGTTGCAAAAACGCATAGAAATATATACAATTTTCAATATATTTTTCTTAAAAACAATTAAACATTTCCTTTACAATTGATTGATCTTATTATTCTGTGTATTAAAGTAGGATAAAAGTATTAAAGTAGGATTACCGAAAACTGAATGTTTTACAAAATATTTTGAATTTTATGTTAAAATACGATATCTCTTTCAAGCCACTTTATTTTAGTGTTTTGAAAAGCTCTTAAGATAAGCTATACATATAGATAGCTGAATATGTAATAAAAAATAGGGGTTTCCATTTAAATACTTTATAGTAAATTTTACGTACTCTTAATAATGTTATTTATAGTCACAAAAAAATTATTTCTTAATGTTATTCAAAAGAATAATCTTGATTGATGATTTTTTTATTCGAAAAGATGCGCAAAATCCTGTATTAGAAATTCGAAAATGACGTATGCAAGTGTGACGTATATTTCCTTTTTTTACACCGTCAGCAAACTGGATCTTTTAAAAGTTTCCTCCATATTATTTTTTTATGTTCTGGACTTTGAAAAAATAAAAAAATCTAAATTATTTATTAATATCTCTATTATAATATACAGATTTTAAAGCTAAATATTAAACTAAAATATTAACTATTAAAAATATTAATTATTTATACAAAACGAAATTTGGAAATTTGCTTGAGAGTTGAAAGATCCAGATTGCTGACGAAGGGTTAATATATTCTAATTGTTCCCCTTATTACTATAATATATATATATATATATATATATATATATATATAATGTAATAATATGAGCATTTATTGTTATATATATAAAACAGAAATTATTTGTCCAAAATAACATAAGCAAAAGTTTAAAAAACGATATATCCAGTTGCATGAATCAAATATATTTGTTTTTTTAACTAATTGAATAAAGCATTCGTTATTTGTTCTCGATGCAAAATGACAGCGCGGTGTAAACCGAATTAAACCGTACTCTTTTGTTTTGCTAACCGCGCTCCGAAAATCATGATGAAATATTTGTAACTAATTGGGCCGCGAATCCAAAATAAAAATAATACATAAAATAAACAGAGAAATGTCGAAAAGTGCAACGTGTATATATATATGTATATTTTTTAATTTATATTATTCCATTTGTAAAATTCAGACTTTAAATTGCGGATTTAAAAAAGCTACAATAAAAGATCAATATGACAAAAAATAAAATAATATAATTAAAAGAATAATAAAATATAAAACAAAAAAAATATAAAATAAAATTAAAAAACATAAAATAATACCTAATATATAATAATATAATAAGAATGAAAGATGTATCTCTTTGTGTTCATTAATATAAATATTATTAACAAATATTATATATTTCAATTAGTTTATTAAAATTGTTGGTATTCTCAACCAATGCGAGCAATATTATTGTAATTATTGTCTGTAAATACATTCATCAATAATATATAAACAGTAGCATATATTATTCGAATATATATATATATATTTATTAGAATTTTATATATTTATTATTATATATTATTATATATTATATATTATATATTATTATATATTATATATTTTATTATATATTATATATTGTTATATATTATATATTGTTATATATTATATATTGTTATATATTATATATTATTATGACTAATATTTATTAGAACTATTGTTGTAGGATTTAAAGGGGAAGAAGTCCGCCTCCTTTATTTGAAGTCCTCGACTCCGCGTTCCCGAAATTAGTATATATCGTTTTCTTCTTATTTATTTATACGCATGTCTTGCACGAATAAGCAAATGCCTACCACAGGATCCTTGAAACGGGTCTAAAGGTAATCGCGATGTAAAAATCGGACGGATCCCGAAGAGTCTTAATCCTTATTTTGACAAGTTGGACAGAATAGACAGAATGACAGGGGCACGTCGTCTTTAGTCGACTCGTCGTCCCTCTGCCACAATATCGAGATAAAAAAAGAGGGGAAAAAAAGAAAACACAAAACAAGCTGTAATCTGCATCTGCCTATCTACATTGAATTTTAGACGACGATATACTCTGAAAAAAATCCATGTACTTTCATATGGAAATTATTATACTTGTTCAAAACTGGAAAAATTGCTTAATTATCACTGTAATTTTTTCCATATGTTTTAAAGTAAAAATACATATATTAATGTAAAATTATTATTATTATAAAATTATGTTTTTATGCAAGAATCACAATCTTCCATATTAGCTTGATTATGCTGAGTAAAAAATCCATTATCATGTAATTTCACACAAATATTTTTTTCAGCGTATACTTGTGCGTGTTCGATGAATATCTTTTATTTTAATAAAGATGAACAAGATTTTTTCTTTATTTTTTACTTTTCCCCCTCTGATCTTTCGAGAATAAATTTACGCTTTACGTCATTTTTCTAGATTTGTCTACATTGAATTCTCAGATTGGATTTAAAAAAGCGAAAATCTTGAAAAAAAACTCGAGAATCTCATATTTACTGTAATAAAAAATTACTGATTATAAAAAAATCCTCAACATCCAAGATTACTAAACCTAACCGTTCTATATTAAAACTCCCTCGAGAAATTAAACGCGAAATAAAAAAATTGTTGATCTATCTGATTAAAAAGCTCTATAGCTTGATTTGAGGACATTTCTAGATTCATAATTATAATTGAAACTTACCGATACTTCGACACTGATGGGAAATAGAAGACGATAATAACATTTGTGCAATAGAGAACTGAAATTTTGAAATCGCGAAATGTTGATTCAATTATAAAATCAGTCTTGCCACTAGAATTCCACGCAGTGCAGCGAACCGAATTACTACGAGATTCCTACTTAAAATAGTTGGTTCATTCATTCTCAGGTGGCAGCACATATTGGATAAAGTTTCAAATTTTATACTTAGGATTTATATTTATATGCTACATAAATAAACATATATATTTTTTCTTTTTTACAGAAATTTTTGTTATGTTTTAGAATTTTTTTATCTTGATTATAAAAATATTAATTCATTCATATGCATATACATATATAAAATTATATATAAATAAATTTTAATATATGTATAAATGAATTATATATAAATAAATTTTAATATATGTATAAATAAATTTTATATAAATAAATATATAAAAAAATTATATATAAAAGTATATTATATACAAATGTTTTACAATACAAGATAAAATATTCTAAAGATGGCAAAAATTTATGAATTTATTTAAAAAACTAACAAAAGCGATAAAGAGTATAAAGATGTAAAGTAATTTTAATTATTAGTTAGTAACTTCAATTTGAACAAAATTGAGACACGATTTTAAAAAATGACGAGAAAAAAATATAAGATTTTAATTGTACCAATTTTCAATGATTCATATAAATTCATGTAGAGAATATATTCACACGATATAAAGATCTCGAAAGATAAATAATTTCAATTAAAAAATGTTAAATGTAATATTATCTCTGTTTCTTCTATCTACTTTTTTTAATCTTAATGCACATTTCCTCAAATAAATACAGTTAAATAATTAAAGCCACAATTACCCATTAATTATACAAATTATTGGATCAAAAAATAATCACCATATTGATTTTATAAAATTTTTTTTCATAAACTCATTGAGTTTATTATATCCTATGAAAATGATCGAGTGGAAGAATTTAATTGAAGATGGAATAAATGTAAACTTACCTCGAGACGTTGTAAGAGTAGATCCAAAATCATGAGAATCTTGTTGCTTAACAAAACGGCTTCTATATTCTCGATGTTTTCACTGATGCTCGCTTTGTAGACTCGACACAATAATATAAGTGCTCTGAAATATTAAATAAAAGTAAAAAATGTGTTGTAGTATTGATCCAAAAATCGATTCTATTACATCTAGAGTTACTACTTACTTATTCGGTAAATTATACGACGTATTTTGTGCATTTAAGCCTAGATTTAATAAGTTAGTCAATGTGTCGAATCCATTCAAGCATCTGAAGGCGTCTTGATCGAATGAACACTGAAACAGAAGACAACAATAACTAAATAAATAGAATATAATGATGTGGACAGTGTTGTGCTTAGATAATTTTAAAATTTAGCTAGATAAAGATGAAATACAAATATGTAAATTCATCTTAGATAAGATGATTGTTTTAAATATATCTGGATAAAAGATAAAATCATATGGCAATTCAGCTAGATAATTTTCTAGATAATTTTTAATTTAATTAAAAAAAAAATGCAAATTATAAAATATATGTATTGATATATTTATTTATAAATTTATATCGCTTACTGCTTAAGTTCTACTATTTAAGTATTTTTATGTGCTATGATTCTAAACCAAAATTATCTACATAATTATCTACAAAATTATTCTACATAATTTAGTAAAGATAATACTTTTTTTTCATCTAAGATGCAGATATAGATAATACATATTTTCATTATCTATATAAAGATAAGACAATGCTCTTTTTCTTCTGTAGAACTTACAGATTTGGAGAAGGCTCGAACAATTTCGCCCAAGAAACGTTCCAAGGCAGCGAGTGCGACAGTCGACCACGCGGATTTGGAATGATTGTTGTACAATCTATCTAACTCTTTCAGATTGCGCCGAAATTTGACCTTATTGGCCGATTCGACGGATAGATTCTGATTACTCTCGTTCTTGCATTTGTCTTCCCACTCCTGTCCGCGCAAGGTCATGCGCTGTTTAATCTTCCTACATCGACGCTTCAGCGCTTTCTGCTTCTCTTTCGCGGCCTTGCTGCTGTTCGCGTTGTTGTTATTGATGACGGTGATCGGGACGTCTCGTATTTGGGCGATATTAAAACGTTGGAGCTCGTCCCGCGATGGCTCGCGGTTGTCGTGCGCGTTTCTCACCGCTTCGAGATGCGCCTTCCCTTTCAGGTGGCTCAGAAGGTGTACTTCGTTAGTTATCTGCAAAATATATACAAATTTGTAATGTCTTATTCAGAGAAAAAAAGATATATTATACAGGTTTTATTTTAATAATAATGCTATTTTTCGAAAATCATTTTTTAAAAGTATGTAGTTGCATTTTGCAATTGTACATTTATTAAATCATAAGACTAAGTTATACTTAGAGAATTATTAAGGCAGTATTATTGAAAAATGAGTAAGACAGACATTTTCAAATTTATTTCATACATACGACAAGACGTCTCTGTCTCAAAATCTTATGACTTTTGTATGAAACATTTTTCGATGAAAGCCTTATCAAAAAATAGTTGGTTTAAAATATTTAAATTATTATTTAATTTATTTAAATGTAAATTATTTAATATAAATATATAATATATATATTTTTAAATATATACATATATACATATATAAATTAATATACATATTTACTTATTTAATATATTAAATATGAATATTAAATATATAAATATTTAAAATGGGACATTGATGAAAACTTACAATCGTGCCGCATAGAGAACACTGTTTCTGAGCGGGATAAGATTTTAGAGTGGGTGGTACTTCCTCCGATCTCAAGATTGAAGATTCGACGGCGCGTTGCCGAATGTGCTCGATATTCTCCACGTGTCGTCTGGCGGATTCCTGCTGCTTCTGCGCTATCTTCTTTGCAGCTCTTCCTGATTAGCCAGTTGAGCCGCGTGAAGCGCCGATAAGCGTTCTTCGCGATCTCGTGCCTTTTCCCTCGCTAATTCCTATTTAGAGTTCAAACCACGAGTTAGTAAAGAAGTATTTAACGATGAAAAAAACAATTGTGATAAAGATAATAATAATTATATTCACCTGCCGTTCTTTTTCTCTTTCAAGCTGCATTTTACCAACTCTCTCCTCGCGTTCTCGTCGCGCTTGATTCATCTTTTGTATTCTTAGCTGTCGTTCCGCTTCCAAAGCTCTTCGACGCTCTTCGGCTGCGGCTTCTTTAGCAGCTTTTTCCTCCTGTCGACGTTGACGTTCCTCTTGAATTCCCTAAGTGATAAGTCATTTATTAAAACAAGTCAATTATTAAAACGAGAGCTATTAATATAATATTAATTATATAAATTAATAATATAAATTATATATATATATATATATATATATATATATATACTATACACAATATTATTAATATAATATGTTAATATGATGTGTATATTTCAATATCAATGCAGCAATATATAAATATTACATGTAATATTAATATATTGTAGATATATTGAACATACATTTATTATATTATATATTAAAAATGTATAAATATATAATATTTAAATATACATATAATAAAAATATATAATATATAAAATATATAAATTATATATTATATACATTATATTATATAATTATATTAATAACTTATATATAAATACATATTTAAAAAATTCCCCACAAATTGAAAATCTTCAAATATGCAGGCATATGATATTATTTCTTTTTGTTAGAAAATATATACACCTGCAATCTTTCCTCCTGCTCCTGGCACAACGCCATAAAATCGTGCCTCTTATTCTGCGCCTCCAGTTCATTGATAAAAGCTATCTCCTTCAATTTCGAGTCCTCGTCGTGCGCCTTCCTCACAATTTCCAACAAATGCTGCGTCCTATTTTCCTCCGCCCTTTTAAGCCTCATCTCCATCCTGATCCGTTTGTCCTCTATCAATTGATTCTTCGCGCTCTTGACATCCTCCACTTTGTTCAAGAGCTCTCGCAATCGTTGCGACTTCTCCATCAGCAACTTTTGACGTTTGTGCTGCGCGCAAGCCTGCTTCGCCTGGTACCTTCTCAACGTCTCGGGAAGGGATCTCTTTCGCGACGGAGACGACAGTTTTTGATGCAATTCCAAGGCGCGTCCCGGATGACGAGCCACCAAAGCGCGCAACTGCGCGAGAGTGTCGACCCGTTCGGCCCAAGACATTCCCTCCAACATATTTTCGTACCTGCAATTTCAATTTATATTAACAAAATGTGGCAACAATATCGAGATAGGGTGGTTCATAAGTTCGGAAAAAATGTGAACCACAAAAGTTGTAGGGCTCAATATAAGGCACCTGATGATGACCTTGAATTTGATCTAAGGATCAAATTTAGTCATTTCAAGGTCAACTTAATCTTTTTCTGACCACTATTTCCGAAGATAATTGGCAGTTGCCGAACTTTTGAACCATCCTGTACAAATGTCCAGCTTATAGGTACCTATCCTCCAAGCTGATGTCATCAGTAACATTGCTGAGCGACACCGTAGGCTCGTCTTCCATTTCAAGGACCATTTCGCCATCCGTCTCGTCCGTTTCCGTGTCGACGTCGATCTCGCTGGACTCCAATTCCATAATTTGTCGCTTCAAGGACGCCTCTTCGTCCGACAGCTGCTGAGATCTCTGGGAGTCCGCTTCCTCCGTCTTTCTCTCTTCCTCCAAAATGATTCTCTCCCTCTCCGCCTGTGCAGCCATGAACTGTTGAATGCGTTTCTCGAGTAGCTCCGCGTCGTTCTTAAATATAGCTGCGATCACCGACGTTGAATTGTCGCACAGATTTAAAGTATTCTTCTTCAGTGTATCTTCGAGATTACTCTTGATCGTAGACGTCATAAATTCTCCCTTCACCTTCTCAACCTCGTTGTTCATGTTCTTGCCAGTTTTTCCCACAATGCATTTCTTCCTCTGCTTGTTATTCCCATCGGGAGTGTAACTGGTCTTCTTTATCTTCTCCGATGGACTCTCTATGGACAAGGCTGGCAAGGATAGAGCAGTGCTTGGTTTGTGAAAGCGCGTAGACATGTTTAAGTTGTGGGTGCTCCCTCTTCTACAGCGGTTCCTAACTGTCTGCCAGCCATCGCTCTCATCCTTTGTCTTTGGAGGTACCGTTGGTTTGGTTAAAACTTCCACCGATCCATTTATGTCTCTATTTTGATCTTTCTTTAAGATGTTTTGTTCCGATAACTGAAAAAAATATATTTTGAATTAATTTAAATTAAAATCTGTGCGAATTTTGTGATAAAAATATAAATGTTATATAATATTGATAAAAATTCTATCATATATGTATGTGTAAGTACATTATTAATAAAACATCTTGTAAGATATTCTTTAAAAAATATTATATATATATATTTTTTTTTTCAATAAATTTATTGTTAGAATATATGAAATATGATTCGCAAAATAAACCCATTCCTTAAAACATAACAAGGAGATACCTTGTTTTCTGGAGTTTGAAATCGTCCTCTCACAATAACAGACGTCCCGGGCCTCGTTTTATTCGAAGCGTGTAAATTCTTGTCGCTTAAACAAGTCTTACTTCTAATAAACTTTGGAGCTTCGCTCGAAGTCGACGGTTGCGCTTTGGATTTCGTTTGCGACACAGTCGAGTAAGCAGGTCTATTTGCATTCATCATTACAGGGCCGGATGATGCATTACGGATATCCTTATTATTCGATTTATCAGCGATTTCATGGGGGGGATGTTTATTTACTTGACAATTAACTGGATTAATTTTTTCTGAAGGATTCTGAGCGATGGGTGTTTTTACATTCACTCTCTCAGTATTAATATGACTGTTTTCGCGCCTTTTAATACTGTCTTTCTTAACTTTGGCGTTAATTTCGTGCTTTCCTAATCCAACGTTACTTTTATCACACGACAATTTGCTGTCCATATTTTTTCCCTCCATCTTACCATCTTTCATACTAACTTCGCAGTTGCTACAAGAAGACGGTTGAATATCTTTGTCACTTTTATACTGTTCTCGCTTCTCCACAGATAAGTTGGAATCGGTTAACTTTGCAACGTTACTGTGCAAGTCCTTAGTTTGTTTAGAATTATTCCTAACATCCATCTTATTTTTAGAATCGCACGCGAAACTATTCCCCTTCGATTGCACAGTCTGTTTCACAAATACTTTCAGCGCTTTGCTCGACGCGGATTTTTCCTTGTTCACCGTTTGACTCCCGTTCTTGCGTTTCTCTTTGATATCAGAGGAACAATTCTTGCAAACGTTGTTTTTATTATCCTTCAATAGTTTATGGACGAATTCTTCCTTCACATGATTAACTTTATTATCCGTTGCAATTTTATTTTCACATATGGTTTGCTCAACTGGACTCTTGCAAACAAATTCTGTCGGACTAACTCTCTGCAAGGGACTAGTACATTTGGGAGTTATTGTAGAATTCCACATACGACAGGGAGAAGTCTTCCTGACCTCCCACGCCAGAGGTGTTCGCCTCAATGGTGGCGAGGAATTCTCATAAGCCCACTTGACTTTAAACCATTCTATTAAGTTGTGAAAGTCCCGAGTGTAATTTTCCAGCACCAGAATGACTTCTTTACATTCGGAGATATTTTCATCCTCCTCGCATGTTTGATAAATACCGTCGACTGCTCTTTGCAAATTTCCAAATAGAAATGCCCAGTATCGTGCCTGTAATTCTGTACAAATAATATACATTAGTAAGAGTTGTATAATTTATTCTCTTACAAAAAACATTTTAACATAATTGCAGAAGTTTTATAAGATCTCTCTCTCTCTCTCTCTTAATGAATTATTTGAACTATTCTAATTTTAAAAATTACATAAATGAAGAGAAACCGTCTATTATTAAAATTCAGTGAATAATTATATATAGAATAATTTTATTCTATATAAAAATTATTATTTAGTACTCATTATTATTTAAAATTATTTAATAAATAATATAAAATTATGATTTAAATATTAATAAATTACTTCATATTTTTAAAGTATTTACAATATTTCTAAATGTTATTTTCTAGTTCTTTTTTACAAAAGAAAGGTTGCCTTACCAGATTTCTTGTCACGACCTGTAGAAGCAGATCTCACTCTCGTAGTTGGTTTCATAGATCGCTTTGTTGTGCCTGACTGAACCTGCCTTGGCACACTGGGCGGTTTCTTTGTGATTTTCTCTATATTATCATTACCAACAGGCACATTAAATGCTACCAAGTTCCTGGCTGCACGTCCTTCTTCCTGAAGGAGTAACCTGACGTCTGCCATTTTACAGGTTCCTAAATTGACAAACAAGGCAGAATTTAAAAAATTTAGAATACTGTTTATCAATCATTAAACTTGTCAAAATTTGAGAAATAAAATATAACATAAAGCATATTCAATGAAAAAAAAAATTGTATAATATATTTAATAAATATACACATTAAATTATATATTATATACATATTAATTTTATATTACGTATAATTTTTATAATATACAGAATAGTTTGATAGACAATTATACATAAAGAAATGCTAAGACAGGATTAAACCTTAGCATCATGCAACGACCTACGAGTAATGTCATCCGGTCTTGCCGAGGTTGTATCCTTGTAATTTAAAAAAAAAAAAATATATATATATATTTTTTTTTTTTTTTTTTTTTGAGAGATAAACAAAGATGACAGACGGACCGACACGTCGACACAGAGGCTGTATCTCGTATACACGCTAATATTTACACTTGTCAAACATACGACTTACGTCACGCGAACGCGTTTTTACAAACGTGCGACTTTGCCCGCGTTTTTTCGCGCATTTCGTGATTTTTAACAGTCGATACCTGACAATTACGAGAAGTCGCAGAACGATCCTCCGGCCCTCGCACGATCACGTTTCGTAAATGACATTTGAGGAACGATGCATGACATTTTACGCGCAATTATGTACGTCAAACGGGGGGTAAACACGAGTTTCCTGGCTCTTTGTTGGTTATTCTGGCTGCTGATCGGATTTCTCGCGCATGCGCGATCCCCAGAGGTTGGGTTAGGTAAAGGGAGAGAAAAGGGGGAGGTAAAGTTAGGTTAGGTTTAGGTTAGGTTAGTCACACATGTATGCGAAAACATGAATGACACATTTGACGTTTGACATTTGACGTTTGAAATTTGACATTTGACGTTTGACATTTGACGTTTGACACGTGATGAAAAATGATGGAATTTCATGTAAGAGAGGTTATGTTATGTTATGTTAGTTAGGTTAGGTTGTGTTAGTCACACATGTATGCGAAAACATGAATGACACATTTGACGTTTGACATTTGACGTTTGACATTTGACGTTTGACATTTGACGTTTGACACGTGATGAAAAATGATGGAATTTCATGTAAGAGAGGTTATGTTATGTTAGTTAGGTTAGGTTACACATGTACGCGACTACCTGAATGAATGACACATGCATTTGACATTTTTGACGTTTGACAAAAATGATGAAATTTCATGAAAAAAATTGTACTAAAAAATTGTTGGATTCTAATGGCTTTTTTCTACTTCAGGTCAATAAATCTGTATTTTTCTCTCTTTAAAACGAGTCATTTTGCAAAATATTTTGCGACATGATGTGTACATTACTGGAATATTATACGTGATATTATATTTTTAAATAATAATAATGGAAGTAAATAACGTGGACGAGGAAGACGAGAATGTCGTGATTCAAGTATGATAATTTCTAAGAAATTCATTTTTTTTTAAAGAAAATTTATCATTGTAAACAAAATGAGGAGGTTATATTTATATACATATTTTTCACTATTTTTTTGGTGTGAAATTAAAGTTAAAAATATTAAAAAGAAATTAATGCATGTTACTATTATTCTGTTATTTATTTTTCTTTTAATCTGACAATACCATTTCTTAATTTAAATACAATCTTTGCGTTCTACAAGTTCAAATTACAAAGATAATTCATTTAAGAATAACAAGAAATAATATATAATTTTAATTTATAATTTTAGAATTAATATTGGTGAAAAAACTAACTTGATTTATTTTACAGGGTAGCGCTCTTCATGTACATCTGTCAAAATTGGGTTACACAGACTTCGAAAGCGTATCCATACCTAAGACAACATGTTTGGAAGAGAAGGAATATTTAAATCTTGTAAATTTTATATATTATCTGTAAAATGCATGGATACTCTTAATAAAGTGTAAATTTTACATACTGTGCACTAAAGATATACAATTGTTATTTTTCAGAATACTACAAGTACCATACAGAAGATTTACACACAATTATTTTCTTTTTACTCCTGGATAATGCAGGTATTTGCATTCTTTGGAAGTAACTATTTGCATAATTGTGCAATTTATATTCTATTTAATTATACTGCATAATATTTACAGGAGAAGAGCATTTCTGAAAAGCAATTGAGCACCATTTTGAATGCAGAAGCTTTGTTGAACGATCATTTTTCTGCAATTAACGATTTTGTAAGCAAGCGCAATGATAATTCTAAAAAGTAATTATTATCCTTTTATATCAAATATTTCTGCGTGTTTATTTATTTATATGTGATGCTGTGTGTATTTTATTTTTATTTCTATAAAGTTTCTAGAATTATGATTAACTGATGGAATTATTTTTTGCAGAATAAGACTGCAGGAATTAATTGTGGCTGGAGTAGTATTAATCTCATCAACGTGCATTTCATGGTGTGAATTTAAGGTGTTACCAACGTTATTCGCATCATCTGCAATCTGCTGCGCTGGTTACATAAAACACTCGCGTTTTCGTGCAAATAGAGATTTAAAAAACGTTATTTCATTACAAAATGAACTTCTTGCCATATGTAAGGAAAGTCTCAAGATTTTGCGACGTAATTATAGAATAAAATTTAATTTCGAAATATGTTTCCAACAATTTTCGTAAGTACTCGTGTAAATTCGTCGAATTTTAGATACACAAATATTTAAATCTATGGAAAACTTGTTTTTATTTGTTTATTTTTGTTTCTATTCTAGGCATATCATGGGGAAAAAGTTGCAATATGTGCAATCTCTAATGGAAACTTTAGTCTCGTTTATGGGAAATATTTCGCATATATATTATCAATGTTCCTTATTAATTGTAAAATTATTGCCGCCAAATGTACTTAACGAAGAATTGTTTACAAAATTCGAATCTAATTCGTTTGAGATATCTAATAAAATCGATTATCAGGCATTGAAGGTAAATAACACAATATTAAATTTTTAAATCTATATTTTTTTATGATAAACTTTTCTCTCTCATCATATATTTTTATATTTCTTTTACAGAAACTGTATCACATCTATCTTCTGGTCCAATCAGAAATGTTGTATTTATTAGCTATTGCATACGATAGCAATACTTGGATATTTTCTCATCAAATGATTCCTGAAACGAAATTAGTTCATATAGTTCGCACCCTAATTAAGGAACTGACAGCACATAAAGTTAAGTTGTCGGAAATCATTAATGCTTATCATAGTTGTAAACTGGAGCCAGTTCGACACAAGTAAGTTGATATGTCCTTATATTTGTATTTAAAATTAAAAATTATGAACAAGACGTCAAGTCAAATATTTTTTTAGGGCACAGAAAGCTAAATGGCAGGACCCGACTGTTCAATTAGATCTGGCATCGTATAAGCTACAGTCGGGTTATAATCAAGTGTTTTCAGTATTTAAAGACATCGATAACTGCATCAGTCAAGAAATTGATAATGAAACGACTGAGATACTGATGCAAAAGTTGGACAAAGCATTCAAAGAGATCGATACAGCTAAGAGTCTGATGGAATTTGTTATTTTATTAACATCAAAATCAAGATTCAGTAAACCGAAGGAGGATCAGTCTGTAACTAATCACACTACGATAGATCAAAATCTCAATTTGCCTGTAATAATGGATTCAGAGCCAGAGATTCTCGATGAAGTATTCGAGGAATATATTAAAGATGATTATTTAGAACCTTTGCACGAAGATACAGACGAGTATACATTGGAGCAGCGAAAACTGGATAAACTTTTGGCGAAGAGTTTTATGAGCGAGTTGAAGGAGGCCCTTGTTGAGAAACATAAATCTATGTCTGAGCGAGAATTTAAGGCCCTGCAACGTTTATATAAAAATATGTCGAAGGATTCTGCATCGAATATTGAAGATAACAATGAGGACTGTCAATTTATACCTATTCCACCACCGATGCCTTCTAACTATATATGGTCATCGAATCCATCAGATGACATTAATTCAAAATATGAAAGAATAATTCCTTCCACTTGTAAGATGAAAAATGATGACTCATCTATTCAAGGAAAGATTGATGACTCGGATTCTAGAAGAGTGCTAAAATACAAAAATACTTTTAATACACCATTCAAAGAAGCCTGCGAGACGGAAGATAGGGAATCATTTTTACCACAGATTCTCCTTGAAACACAAGCTACACAATTTGTTACAAAACTACCACCCACTTTTCTCCAGGAGGAGACATTTGTAGGAAGTGGTGAAAATTCTGAGGATGAAATGATAGACAATTCAAGTGATGAAGAGAACACAAGTAATGAAGAGAATGAAAATTCTTAACAATAAAGCGATATGTACATGATAAGTTTTTGTTATCTTTAAAAATCGATTACTAGATATTTTCAATTGTTTATTGTCTAGCTTTTCGATTTTAATATATTCTGTATGTTTTAGTACATTTTACAGATTTAAAAAAAATTTATATCTTACATTAATATATTTAACTTTTAAATATAATTTAGTGTATTATTTTATTTAAAATAAAATACTTATACTTAAAAATGTAATATAATTAATTAATATATCATTAATAAAATATAATTTTAATTTAAGTAAAATATAAATTTTAAAAAATTTATATACATATATGAATATTTGAATTAGATTATTTATAAATTTAAAAAATTGTATATTTTTAGTTAGAAAGAGAAAACGAGAATAAAAAAAAACAGGGAAATAAAATAAAATAATTATAAAATGAATAAATTTGTTTTAGCATTTTCTACATTTTTTCTAATCTTTTACAATTTTTATTTTTTCACATACAAAAAGCGCGGGAAAACTCGTATAGAAATTTACTAGATTACGTTTTAGTCTCGGATCAGCCAATGAAAACGCTGCAACAAAATCCCCAGAGATCCCTAGAGACGAGCAGCTTCTCGTGAACTTTGAACAACGCGTGGAGAAACGTCATAGTTCATGTTCGTGGCTCGTGACAGTCGGTGGCGATCGCTGGTGGCCGCTTGACAGTTCAATCCGGAGGAAGAGTAGTGGGGGGAGGTTCGATCAACCGACCCGCAGCCTCGGCGAAGCGTAAGCTCGGAAACGCAATAAAGTGTGATATACACCCGGGATATGGGCGACTCCTTGGACGGCTCCGGGGAACCGTCCCCGGAGTCGCAGAACGTCTCGATCGTCGAGTTCCCGACGTTCGCCAATTATCTGCGCAAAGCCGTCACGGTGCTGCTGCCGGACGAGGATGCGGTGCCGCCCGCGTTCAACTTCGCCCTGGAGGAGCGCTACAACCAGGACTGCGTGCGCAAGTTTCTCGGCGACTCGCAAGTCAGCTCGCTCTACATCCAGAGGAGCTCGACCAAAGGTGACATATATATATGACATTTCTTTCTTTTTTTCTCGATCGCTCTCGGAGATGACGTTTCATCCGTTTCACCCGGTATATGCGTACCGGACTCCGTTAACGGTACATTTGTAACCCCTTCTGTCGGCGCGCGATTTTTCCAGCATTGTATGGATATTCAGGTACCTTGAGAAATTATGGGAAATTATGCGGAAAGGTTAAGTCACTTTGACACCTCGTTTTTGACAGAAGGGTTGACGTGGGAGAAAAAAATTCGCGTCCTGAAAATCAATCGCGACATTCACACGCACACACCTTGGACAAGATATGACTCACTCCCTCGAAGATCGATATATATGGTAACGCATTAATTAATATATCGACCGACGCGCTCGTTTCTTCACACCTAACCGCTTTATTTACATCCGATTTTCGAGTCAATTTCTTCCAGGCAGTTTCACAACAAATCCGAAATCACTCTATCTTTCTTTTTAATCCGGAATACTTAATCGATAATCACATGAAATTTCGTATATACTGTACATATAATTGTAAAGAAATTATGTATTATTTTATTGTTACTATATATTTTCGAAATAATTAATTTATTACGTAAATATTTTTAATAAATTATATATTTGTATTATATTTTATTAGTTTATTGCATAATATGATGTAATTTATTATATAAAAATAGTTTTTAATATATATAAAGAAATTATATAATTGTATTATTATATTTTATAGGATAAGTAAAACATTCTATATACAGGCTACGTAAGAAAAATGTGGAGTATTTGAAATGAGCAACGAAATTCACACAAACATATGTCAAGAAATGCATCACAACAATCATTTGGGTTAGATATTAGAAATAAAAAAGAATTCATTCTGAAACATTCGATTAAAAAATCATTTTTTATACTGCTAAAGTTAACGGTCCACATTTTTGTTGCATCCTGTATATAGCGTATAATTAAAAGAGTCTTCAGTCTTTATCATAATTATAATTGTGATTTAGCTGTTTGCTGAAAAACATTATCACATAATTAATATCTGTTTATCTCTCTCTTTGCAGAAGAAGACAGTGGGGAAGGAGATGAAGACAAGGAGAATGCAACTTATTACCTATCCAACGAGATCCACTTTTCAAATCCGAAGATGGCCTCCCTGGTTCTGACCAAACGTGGGGTCGTCATTGAGAGCGACAAGTCCATTCATTCCCAAGTCCGTTTGATTACATTTTCCGATGGACCGCCGTACGAGACTCTACACGCGATCAGCAAGACCATGGCGCCCTATTTTAAGAGCTACGTGAAGGAAACCGGTCGCGCCCACCGGGACGGCGACAAGATGGTACCGTTGGTGGAGAAGAAGATCGCCGAGCTCGAGATGGGGCTGCTGCATCTGCAGCAGAACATCGATATCCCGGAGATTTCCCTACCGGTGCACCCGATCGTCGCCCAGGTGATCAAGCAGTGCGAGGAGGAGGGTCGCAAACCCAAAGTCGCCGACTTCGGGGACAAGGTGGAGGACTCGACGTTCCTCAATCAATTGCAGAACGGGGTGAACAGGTGGATCAAGGAGATCCAGAAGGTGACGAAGCTGAATCGCGACCCGGAATCGGGCACGGCGCTTCAAGAGATCTCGTTCTGGCTGAACCTCGAGAGAGCGTTGCACCGTATCCAGGAGAAACGGGAGAGCATCGAGATCTCGCTGACCCTTGATATACTCAAACACGGCAAGAGATTCCACGCCACGGTGAGCTTTGACACGGACACCGGTCTGAAACAGGCTCTGGCCACCGTGAACGATTACAATCCGCTAATGAAGGATTTCCCTATTAACGATCTGTTATCGGCCACGGAGCTGGAGAGGATCCGCAGCAGCGTGCAACAGATCTTCATGCATCTGCGAAAGATTCGCAGCACCAAGTATCCGATTCAGAGAGTCCTGAGATTGGTGGAGGCCATCTCGCGGGATCTGGGCCAGCAGTTGCTGAAGGTACTGGGTACGCGACGACTGATGCACATCCCGTTCGACGATTTCGAGAAGGTGATGGCTCAGTGCTTCGAGGTGTTCACCACCTGGGACGACGAGTACGACAAGCTGACAGGTCTGCTGAGGGACGTGGTAAAGAAGAAGCGGGATGAGCACATGAAGATGGTGTGGAGGGTGTTGCCGGCCCACAAGAAACTGCAGTCGCGGATGGAACACATGCGCCGGTTCCGCAGGCAGCACGAGCAGCTGAGGACGGTGATAGTTCGCGTTCTCCGACCTACGGTACGTCAGAGCAGTAACAGTTCCACGCTGGAGAACACCGACAACGACAACGTGAAGGTGGAGTTCGCCCTGGACGCCGCGGACGCGAACGCCAACAGCGAGGTCAACCTGGCGTACGAGAACGTGAAGGAGGTGGACTGTCTGGACATCACCAAGGAGGGTCAGGAGTCCTGGGACGCCGCTGTGCATAGATACGAGGAGCGTATAGAGCGCGTGGAGGCCAGAATCACGGCCCATCTTCGGGATCAACTGGGGACGGCGAAGAACGCGAACGAGATGTTCAGGATATTCTCCAGGTTCAACGCGCTCTTCGTGCGCCCGCACATCCGGGGCGCCATCAGGGAGTATCAGACGCAGCTTATACAGAGGGTCAAAGACGACATCGAGGCGTTGCACGAGAAGTTCAAGGTATCGGATATTGAGATGGTTTCATTTCATAGCTTGAAACACAAAGAAATGCGTGTTGTGACTCTGAAATATTTTCCACAGGTTCAATACGCGCAGAGCAAATGCTGCAGGATGAGCATGGTGAGGGACTTGCCGCCTGTTGCAGGATCAATAATATGGGTCAAGCAAATTGATTACCAATTGACCATGTATTTGAAACGCGTCGAGGATGTTTTAGGTAATTTCTCATTTTTTTACATTTTAAAAAGATATTGTTTGAATGAGAAGATATATGAAGATATATCACAATTTAAAGAAAATATAGTTTAAAGAAGAGATAGGATATATATATATGTATAAGTATTTAATATTTTTTAATGAAGATATATTTTAAAGATATTTTTTTAAGAAGAATATTTTACATTTTAAAAAGAAGATATATACATATTTTTGAAAAATCTTTAAAAATATATCTTCTTTAACATGTAAAATATCTTCTTTAAAATATATATGTTTTTTAAAAAATATATCTTCTTTAAAATGATGTCTTTCTTAAAGTGTTTAATATTTTTTAATGAACATGTATTATGAAAATATATTTTAAAGAAAGTATTTTTAAAAAGAATATTTTACATTTTTAAAAGGAAGATATATATGTATATATTTTTTTTGAAAAATCTTTCAAAAAAATATATCTTTTTTAGCATGTAAAATATCTTCTTGAAAAAGTACATCTTTGAAATATAATATTATTCTCTAAAATTTTTAAAGATCTATATATCTATATATTTTAAAATATATATTTTTCTTGATTTAATGTAATGCGAATATCTCTAGGTAAAGGATGGGAGAGTCACATCGAGGGTCAGAAGCTGAAAGCCGACGGGGATAGCTTCCGGATGAAGCTGTCGACGCAAGAGATCTTCGATGATTGGGCTCGTAAGGTGCAGGCACGAAATCTCGGTGTAACCGGACGTATCTTCACGATCGAAAGCGTGCGCTCGAGGACGGGACGCGGGAATGTGTTGAAGCTGAAAGTGAACTTCCTCCCCGAGATTATCACGCTGTCCAAAGAAGTGAGGAACTTGAGGAACCTCGGCTTCCGCGTTCCTCTGCCTATCGTGAATAAGGCTCATCAGGCTAATCAATTGTATCCCTTCGCCATCAGTCTCATCGAGAGTATCAGAACTTACGAGAGAACACTCGAGAAGGTGAGACGATGAAGTTGGCGATTATTATTTTTTTCAAATTCCCACTCACATCCAAAAGTTGAAAGTTTTCATTTTCTGGGTATTTTTCTATTGCAATTATATATCAATGTTACATAACGATAGGCAACTTTTATACAAAAGCTTTAAGAGCTTAAGAGCTTTGAACAAAGTGATAGATTATAATAGGATACTAGTGCCAGGTGTGTGTTGAAGATATTAGAATAATTGATATCTCTAATTCCTTGGATCTCCAATATTTTTAGCTTACCAATCGGAGTCCCCATTGTCCCGCACTAAAGGTAGTCATACTTGACGCTTCCAGGAATTATGCATCTTGCCTACATATAGCAAATACTCTTATTGTTTGCCTGCTTAACTAGTAGAGAGATTTGTAATGCAAGATAATACAAGTTTATTTTCTTGACTGATTTATACATATATTACATTTGACAATCAGTTGTATCAGTTGTTTTCAAATACATGTAGGCTTGTACGGATGTGCGGCAGGTCTAAAAAACAACTAGGAAAATTCAACAAACTGTCAATTTAAAAAAAAATTAAAGGATATATAAGTAAAGACGTAAATGCTAATTAAATTGTTTTGTATGTAAAAGAGAAGATAAATATTAATATATAATTGTAATAAATATAAATAATACAACATAATAATATGTAATATAATATTGTATATTATATTATTATATTATTATATTATATAATATAATTGTATTAATATATATTATATTATATAATTGTAAATCTTATCTTGACGAAGTTAACTGACTTTGAGGCTATCCGCATATCCGGAGGATTGCTTGGAGGCAACGTAATACATATAAGAATGTTCTGTCTGATATAAGTAAATATAACAACCATCGTACGACTTTATATTGAATTTTTAAGTATGCATATTCTTGAGTTCGAGTATTTATTGAATGAGAATTTTATGTCGTAAAACTGTACTGTACATTATTTGCAAACATTTTTAAGTATAATCAAACGAATTTCTCTATTTAGATTGAAGACAAGGCCAGTATTATACCTTTGGTTGCTGGGATGCGTAAAGATGTTCTGCAATTGATCTCTGAGGTAAGTAAAATTGTGTCTTGGTATGTATTACACTTTGTTATTTTGTTTAATTTACTTTTATAATTAATAAATCAATATTAAATGTTAAAAAGATTGCATTCTCGGTAACTTTTTTTTGCAATCGTATAAATAAAAAAAAACATAAGAAGATACATACAATAAAAAAATTGCGTCTGTACAAATTTTTTTATTTCACTCGGAATTTTACATAAAAATATCTGGAAGACATCCCACTCGTTCGTCATTTTAATATTAATGAATTATATCTTTCCAAAATATTCAGGGTATCGCTTTGGTTTGGGAGAGCTACAAACTCGATCAGTACGTGCAGCGTCTGTCTGACGCGGTGGTTTCCTTCCAAGAAAGAGTGGAGGATCTGCTAGTGGTCGAGGAGCAGCTGGACGTCGACGTGCGCTCCCTGGAAACATGTCCCTATTCCGCGAACACGTTCGCCGACATCCTCTCCAAGATCCAGAAATCTGTGGACGAGCTGTCGTTGAAGAACTACTCCAACCTGCACATCTGGGTGGCGAGGCTCGACGAGGAGGTAGAAAAGAACCTGGCCGCCAGGTTGGAGGCTGGCATCAAGGCCTGGACCGACGCCCTGACCGGCCACAAGAAGGAGGTGGACCTCAGCATGGACACGGACGCGCCCGCGCAACCTACTCACAAACCCGGGGGCGACCCAAAGATTCAGAACCAGATCCACGAGGTCCGAATCACCAACCAGACCATGTACTTGTACCCCAGCATCGAGGACGCGCGGTTTCAGATAATGCAACAACTATTCGCCTGGCAGGCGATCGTCACCTCGCAGGTGCGTCTGCAGAGCTCGAGGTACCAAGTGGGTCTGGACAAACCCGAGTCTGGCACCTACAGAAATTTACTTACCAAGCTAACTTCGGGGAAGCAACCGCTGGAGGCCGCCTACGAGGCGGTGGAGTCGAAGATGAAGGACGTGGCCGATTACGTGGACCAGTGGCTGCGTTACCAGGCGCTCTGGGACCTGCAGCCGGGGAATCTTTACGGGAAACTCGGCGAGAATATCAACCTGTGGATGAAGTGTCTGAACGACATCAAGAAGACGCGGACCACCTTCGACACCTCGGACACCAGGCGCGAGTTCGGACCTGTCATCATAGACTTCGCCAAGGTGCAGAGCAAGGTGTCCTTGAAGTACGACTCCTGGCATAAGGAAACCCTGGGCAAATTCGGGACTCTTCTGGGTAACGAGATGGCGAGCTTCCACTCGCAGGTGTCCAAGTCCAGGAGCGACCTGGAGCAGCAGTCGATCGAAGCGGCAAGCACCTCCGACGCGGTCGGCTTCATAACGTATGTACAATCCCTGAAACGGAAGATGAAGGCTTGGGAGAAGCAGGTGGACATCTACCGCGAGGGCCAGAGGATCCTGGAGCGTCAGAGGTTCCAGTTCCCGTCGTCCTGGCTGCACGTGGATAACATCGAGGGCGAGTGGGGCGCGTTCAACGAGATCATCAAGCGCAAGGACACCAGCATCCAGACCCAGGTCGCGTCCCTGCAGATGAAGATCGTCGCCGAGGATAAGGCGGTCGAGACGAGGACCACGGACTTCCTCAGCGACTGGGAGCGGGGCAAACCGGTGGAGGGTCATCTGCGACCGGACGACGCTCTGCAGCAGCTGCAGCTGTTCGAGAGTAAGTTCGCCAGGTTGAAGGAGGAGCGGGACAACGTCGCCAAGGCGAAGGAGGCGCTGGAGTTGCAGGAACCAGGTGGAATATCCACCAGCGAGGACAGGATGCAGGTCGTCTTTGAGGAACTGCAGGACCTCCGGGGAGTCTGGTCGGAATTGTCCAGGATCTGGGCCCAGATCGACGAGACCCGCGAGAAACCGTGGCTCTCCGTGCAGCCGCGCAAGCTGCGCCAGCAATTGGACACGATGATGGCGCAGTTGAAGGAACTCCCCGCGAGATTGCGGCAGTACTCGTCGTACGAGTACGTGAAGAAGATGCTGCAGAGCTACACGAAGGTGAACATGCTGATCGTGGAGCTCAAGTCCGACGCGCTGAAGGAGAGACACTGGAAGCAGCTGACGAAGCAGCTCAGGGTCAACTGGGTGCTGAGCGAGCTGACCCTGGGCCAGGTCTGGGACGTGAATCTGCAGAAAAACGAGGGTATAGTCAAGGACATCATCCTCGTGGCTCAGGGCGAGATGGCCCTCGAGGAGTTCCTGAAACAGGTGCGCGAGTCCTGGCAGACGTACGAGCTGGACCTGATCAATTATCAAAACAAATGCAGACTGATACGCGGCTGGGACGACTTGTTCAACAAGGTGAAGGAGCACATCAACTCGGTGGCGGCGATGAAGCTGTCGCCGTATTACAAGGTCTTCGAGGAGGAAGCTCTGACCTGGGAGGAGAAACTTAACAGAATCAACGCCCTCTTCGACGTCTGGATAGACGTTCAACGACGATGGGTCTACCTCGAAGGCATCTTTTCAGGTAGCGCGGATATTAAGACCCTGTTGCCCGTGGAGACGTCGCGTTTCCAAAGCATCAGCTCCGAGTTCCTGGGACTGATGAAAAAGGTGTCCAAGTCCCCGATGGTCACCGATGTCCTGAACATCCCCGGGGTTCAGAGAGCCCTGGAACGGCTGGCCGATCTTCTGGGTAAGATCCAGAAGGCGCTGGGCGAGTACCTGGAGAGAGAGCGCACGTCCTTCCCGCGCTTCTACTTCGTCGGCGACGAGGATCTCCTGGAGATCATCGGTAACAGCAAGAACATCGCGAGGCTGCAGAAGCACTTCAAGAAGATGTTCGCCGGCGTGGCCGCGATTCTGCTGAACGACGACAACACGATCATCACCGGCATTGCGTCGCGCGAGGGCGAGGAGGTCATATTCCAGAACCCGGTGTCGACCGTCGATTATCCGAAGATCAACGAGTGGCTGTCCCTGGTCGAGAAGGAGATGCGGGTGACGCTGGCGTCGAGTCTGGCGAAGGCGGTCCAGGACATCAAGCAGTTCAAGGACGGGAACATCAATCCCCAGGCGTTCATGACCTGGTGCGATAACTACCAGGCGCAGATCATCGTTCTGGCCGCGCAGATCCTCTGGTCCGAGGACGTCGAGGCGGCGCTGCACGAGGCGCAAGCGGACCCGAGCAAGAATTCGCTGGAGCGGGTCCTCATCCAGGTGGAGGGCACCCTGAACGTGCTCGCCGATTCGGTTCTCCAGGAGCAGCCGGCTCTGAGGAGGAAGAAACTCGAGCATCTGATCAACGAATTCGTGCACAAGCGCACTGTCACCAGACGCCTGATTGCCAACAAGGTCTCCAACCCGAAGGCCTTCGAGTGGCTGTGCGAGATGAGGTTCTACTTTGACCCGAGACAGACGGAGGTGCTGCAGCAGCTCACGATTCACATGGCCAACGCCAAGTTCTCCTACGGCTTTGAGTACCTGGGCGTGCAGGACCGGCTGGTGCAGACTCCGTTGACCGACAGGTGTTACCTGACGATGACCCAAGCGTTGGAGGCTCGACTAGGTGGCTCGCCCTTCGGCCCGGCTGGCACCGGGAAGACCGAATCCGTGAAAGCGTTGGGTCATCAGCTGGGAAGATTTGTTCTGGTGTTCAATTGCGACGAGACATTCGATTTCCAGGTAATATTCAGATTTTGTTGGTGTCAACCCTGAAGATGCGATAAATAGAAAATACATTACTGATCGTTTTTGTTCCTTCGCAGGCCATGGGTCGTATATTTGTCGGTCTCTGTCAAGTGGGCGCCTGGGGCTGCTTCGATGAATTTAATCGGTTGGAGGAGCGAATGCTGTCGGCTGTCTCTCAACAGGTGCAAACGATTCAGGAGGCCCTGAAGAGCCAGATGGAAGGCAAGAAGGAGGGAACTCTTTGCGTCGAACTGGTTGGAAAGCAGGTCAAGGTCTCGACCGACATGGCTATATTCATCACCATGAATCCAGGGTACGCCGGACGTTCTAATCTACCTGACAACCTGAAGAAGCTCTTCAGGTCCCTCGCCATGACCACGCCCGATCGCCAACTGATCGCTGAAGTGATGCTCTTCAGCCAGGGCTTCCGCACCGCGGAGAAACTGGCCTGTAAAATTGTGCCGTTCTTCAAGTACGCAACTACATCAAGATATACGGGGTGTCTTATTTTAACTTTGACATTTAAAAAATATGAAAGATATGGAAAAACGTTTTAAACGAAAGTTGTTTGAAGGGGGACATAAAGTGGTACCATTTATTTGACCGTGAATAGTCATTTGAAGGTCACGTGAAGGTCACTTTCAATTTCTTTATATCTTTATTCGTTATTAGTATATAACTTGAAAAGTATTTAACGAAAATATATTTTATTATAGCATTTTGGAAAGCTCTTGAGATAGGCTATAAGAATATGCAATAAAAATGGGGGTTCATAATAATGAAATCGAAAGTGATCGTATCTTACATATATTTCGAGATATTTGAGTGTCTAAGTTAAAATGGGACACCTTGTATTGTATTTTGCGTAGCAAAGTTTGTTACAAATGTGAATTTTTAATTCTTTTTAGGCTCTGCGACGAGCAACTTTCCAATCAGTCTCATTACGACTTCGGACTGCGCGCTCTGAAATCGGTGCTGATCTCCGCCGGAAACGTGAAGCGCGATCGTATACAGAAGATCAAGGAAGGCATGCAGAGTCGCGGGGAGACCAACATTGACGAGGCCTCGATCGCCGAGAATCTGCCGGAGCAGGAAATACTCATTCAATCCGTATGCGAGACGATGGTACCCAAGTTGGTTGCTGAAGACATCCCGTTGCTCTTTAGCTTGCTCAGCGACGTGTTCCCTAACGTGAATTACACGCGCGCGGAGATGAAGGGTAAATTATTGCGTAATCTCTTTTTAAAAAAGGTCTATCAAAAATATTAATTGCAGATAAGATATATTATAACATATTACTATTTTAATATTTTTAACATATTATTTTTAAATTTAACTAGCAAATTAACTTTATTAATAGTTTTTTTTGGCAGAAATCAGCTGATTAAAGCTTTGATTTGATAATTAAATTTTAAGATATGTTATAAAAAAAATAAATAATATGTTTTTGTACTGTAAACTCGATTAATATTTTTTGACAGTAATCAGCTGATAACTGTCAAAAAATATTAATTGAGTTTAAAGGCCTAAAACATATCATTATTTATTTTTTTTATATAACATATCTTAAAATTTAATTATCAAATCAAAGCTTTAATCAACTGATTTCCGCCAAAAAATATTAATAAAGTGAAAATTTGCGAATTAAATTTCAACATAATAATCTGTTAAAAGTATTAAAATAGTGATATGTTATAAGAATTATAGTATAATAATGTTATAATATTTTAAACTCGATTAATATTTTTTGACAGTTATCAGCTGATTTCTGTCAAAAAATATTAATCGAATTTAACCAAACTTAATATTATTTTTTACAAAATAATTTTTTAAATTAAAATTGAGGAATGACGCGCTTGTATTGTCCTAGAAAAATTAAAAAAAAATGTTGATACCTACAAAGATATTTAATATTTCTATTACATGTATATATATATATATATTTTGTTCTTTGTAGGATTGAAGGACCAAATCAGAAAAGTATGCGCCGAGGAATACCTGGTATGCGGCGAAGGGGACGAGCAGGGTGGCGCTTGGCAAGAGAAGGTAATATATTTCCTTTTCATTTACACGCTACAAATAATTTTACACTTAACACACTAATCATTTTCTCGCGACACCAATCAATACACATATGGCACTAATTAAAATACCTTTACACACTTATTTTTGCACTATTAAATATTCATGTTTAAACACTTAATTTTCATATTGTTTATGCGTACTAAGGAAACAGTTGGTGAGACGTGGGTGGAAAAGGTGAGACTGAACTTAAATTTAATTCACTCTGTACAAATTTCATATTCCTTTATCTTTAAGTACACTGGCATCGCCATAAATCATTTTCTTCCACTGATCATATATAATATATCATGTATTACTTAGGTGCTGCAATTATATCAAATTTGCAATTTGAACCACGGCTTGATGATGGTCGGGCCAAGCGGATCCGGCAAAACCATGGCTTGGAAGGTGCTGCTGAAGGCGTTGGAGCGCTTCGAGGGCGTAGAAGGCGTCGCCCACGTGATCGACCCGAAGGCGATCAGCAAGGAGACCCTGTACGGCGTGCTGGATCCGAATACGCGCGAGTGGACGGACGGTCTGTTCACCCACATCCTGAGGAAGATCATCGACAACGTGAGGGGCGAGATCAACAAGCGTCAGTGGATCATATTCGACGGGGACGTCGACCCGGAGTGGGTGGAGAACTTGAACTCGGTCCTGGACGACAATAAACTCCTGACTCTGCCCAACGGCGAGCGTCTGAGTCTCCCGCCGAACGTGAGGGTGATGTTCGAGGTCCAGGACCTCAAGTACGCCACCCTGGCCACCGTTTCCCGTTGCGGTATGGTCTGGTTCTCGGAGGACGTCCTGTCCACGGAGATGATATTCGAGAACTACATGCTACGTCTGCGAAACATCCCGCTGGAGGACGGCGAGGAAGACAATCTCGGTAAGAAGGCCACCGAGAAGGAGGACACTCTGTCGCCGGCGTTGACGGTGCAGCGGGAAGTCGCCAGCATCATGCAGAGCTATTTCGCGCCGGACGGTCTGGTGGTCCGGTGTCTAGAGTACGCGATGCGGCAGGAGCACATAATGGACTTTACGCGACTGCGCGCTCTCAGTTCCCTCTTCTCCATGCTGAATCAAGCCGTGCGCAATGTACTCCAGTACAATCACTCGCACACGGACTTTCCCCTGCCGAGCGAGCAATTGGAGCGTTACATGCCCAAGTGCTTGGTTTACGCGCTCCTCTGGAGCTTCGCCGGAGACGCCAAGCTGAAGGTCAGATCCGACCTGGGTGACTTTATCCGATCGATTACCACTGTACCTCTACCCTCGCAGAATAACATACCGATTATAGACTTCGAGGTGAACATACACGGCGAATGGTTGCCTTGGAGCAACAAAGTTCCTCAGATCGAGGTGGAGACTCACAAAGTCGCCAGCCCGGACATCGTTGTGCCTACCTTGGACACCGTGAGACACGAGAGTTTACTGTACACCTGGTTGGCTGAGCACAAGCCGCTGGGTAAGTGAATGGAGGACCTTGGATGGCGTCGGCAAGGTCAGGGCAAGGTTATCTTCAATTTTTTTTTACAAAACCCCTCTATTTTTATTACATGTTCTTATAGCTTATCTCGAGAGCTTTCCAAAACATAATTAAGTTATTTTTCATCAAGTGTTTTGCATGTTATGAGTCTTGACAGTATTTTGATATAAAATATAAAATATATCTTGTGAAATATTTAGTTTTCAGTAATCTTACCTTAATATTTTCGTGCACAGAATAATGAGATTAATCGATTGGTGTAAAGACTAGCATATAATTGTTTTAAAAAAGATATATTTAATTTGTAACATTTTTTTTAGATAAGATTACTTACCTTCAAGGCTTATAATTCGCAAAATACTTAATGAAAAATAACTTAATTATAGTGTTTTGGAAAGCTCTCGAGAAGAGCTACAAGAATATGCAATGAAAAATAGTAGGTCTCGTTTAAGAAATTGAAGATGACCTTGACACGACTATTCAAAGTCAAATCGATGACACCATCTTATGTTCTCCTTGAAGTTAAGAGGGATGATTGATTAAAACTGGACAGCTTGTATAATTATGAATATTTACTTGCAGTGCTCTGCGGACCGCCCGGCTCCGGTAAAACCATGACGCTTTTCTCGGCTTTGCGAGCCCTACCGGATATGGAGGTTGTCGGGCTCAATTTCTCGTCCGCCACGACCCCCGAGCTGTTGCTGAAGACATTCGATCACTACTGCGAGTATCGCAAGACGCCCAACGGCGTCGTGCTGTCCCCGGTGCAGCTGGGCAAGTGGCTGGTCCTCTTCTGCGACGAGATCAATTTACCCGACATGGACAATTATGGGACGCAGCGCGTCATCTCTTTCCTGCGGCAATTGGTAGAGCACCAGGGCTTCTACAGGACCAGCGATCAGGCCTGGGTCACCCTGGAGAGGATTCAATTCGTGGGCGCCTGTAATCCGCCCACGGATCCTGGCAGAAAGCCTCTCAGTCACAGATTCCTACGACACGTGCCCGTCATCTACGTTGATTATCCCGGAGAAACTTCCCTGAAGCAGATTTACGGCACATTCACGCGCGCCATGCTCAGGTAAATCATCTACAGTTTATCTACACTTGATTATTTCGGAAACATGACGAAAGTTGTATGGCTTCAAGAGAGACGTAAGGTAGTGGCAAAGATTTGACCTTGGATAGTCGTTTGAAGGTCACAGGAAGTTCCTTCAATTTCTTAAATGAAATCTACTACATTTTATTACGTATTTTTGTAGCTTATCTTGAAACAAAACACTAATGAAATATTTTTTTCTTAAATACTTTTTGAGTTATCAAGGTTTGAAATTAAGAATTTTTTTGACATAAAATATGAAATGTCTTGTGAACTATTCAGCTTTCAGTAAACTTACCTTAATACTTTTATGCACGGAATAATGAGACTAATCAATTAACGTGTAAAGAAAACACGTAGTTGCTTTTAAGATAAAGTACGTAACTATATATTACAAATTACATCTTATCTTCAAACCTTAATGACTTAAAAAGTACTTGAGAAAAAAATATTTTACAGTGTTTTGGAAAGCTCTCGAGATAAGCTACAAGAATACATAATGAGAAATGGTAGGTTTCATTAAAAAAAATTGAAGGTGATCTTGATGTGACCTTCAAACGACTATCCAAGGTCAAATCTTTGCCACTACATTACATCTCCCTCGAAGCTATACCATTTTTTTAAACGTCATGTTTCCAAAATTTTTGTTACATCCTCTATAATGCTTCTTATTTTACAGCTACAGGAAAGTATGAATTAACGACAAAAAAATGTTTTTACATAATCCTAGATTAACCCCGAATCTAAGAGGTTACGCGGAAGCCCTGACGAACGCGATGGTGGAGTTCTACCTGGCTTCCCAGGAGAAGTTCACCCAGGACATGCAACCGCACTACGTGTATTCGCCGCGAGAGATGACCCGCTGGGTGCGCGGCATCTGCGAGGCCATCAGACCCTTGGACAACCTCTCCGTGGAAGGCCTGGTGCGTCTGTGGGCCCACGAGGCGCTCCGTCTGTTCCAGGACAGACTGGTGGAGGAGTCCGAGAGGGCTTGGACGAACAAGAACATCGACACCGTGGCTTTGAAGCACTTCATGTCGGTCGACCGCGAGAGAGCGCTAGCTAGACCCATCTTGTACAGCAACTGGCTGTCCAAGGACTACGTGCCAGTGAACCGGGAGGAGCTGAGGGATTACGTTCGGGCGAGGCTGAAGGTGTTCTACGAGGAGGAGCTGGACGTGCCGCTGGTGCTCTTCGACGAGGTTCTCGAGCACGTTCTCCGGATTGACAGAATCTTCCGACAGCCCCAGGGACACCTGCTGCTCATTGGTGTCTCTGGCGCTGGAAAGACGACTCTGTCGCGATTTGTCGCGTGGATGAACGGCCTGTCTATTTTCCAAATTAAGGTAATTTCGAAAAATTCTCAATAACAAGCGCGAACGTTGTATCTCGAGCTCTCTCTCTAATCAATTAATATACAGGGTGTTCCCGTATGTCCCTTTTATCTCGGAAACAAAGCGTTTTAGAGAAAAATGGTTGAAGGGATTGAAAAATGGCTTGAAGAGGGCTATAAGATGGTGGCAATGATTTGATCTTGAATGGTCATTTGAAGGTCACGTGAAAGTCATCGTCAATTTTTCAATCATTAAATCTCATTTCTTATTTTATATTCTTGTAGCTTATCTCGAGAGCTTTCCAAAACACTATAATTAAATGTTTTTTCGTGAAGTACTTTTCGAGTTATAAAGCTCCAAAGTTGCAAAATTTTGATAAAAATACAAAATATCTTGTGAAACATTCAGTTTTCGGCAATCTTACTTTATTACTTTTATGTACAGAATAATAAAACTAATCAATAGATGTTATGAAAACACATAATATTCTTAAAGAAAAATTGTGCAACTGCTGGGGTGTACGGGTGTCGGGGACACCCTGTATAACAGAACGTAAATAGCAGGCCAACTTGAAAACGAGCTAATTATTAAGATGTGCAAATAATTTATTAACATAAGATAGAATAAGGCGAGCATTCTACCACTGAACCACCGATTAATATATATATATATAATGCAGGTGCACAACAAATACACGGGTGAAGATTTCGACGAGGACCTGCGCCAAGTACTGAGGAGATCCGGCTGCAAGGACGAGAAGATAGCTTTCATCCTCGACGAGTCCAACGTGCTGGACTCCGGCTTCCTCGAGCGGATGAACACGTTGCTCGCGAACGGGGAAGTGCCCGGACTCTTCGAAGGCGACGAATACACGACACTGATGACGCAGTGCAAGGAAGGTGCTCAGCGGGAGGGTCTGATGCTGGACTCCAACGAAGAGCTGTACAAGTGGTTCACCGGCCAGGTGATGAAGAACCTGCACGTGGTGTTCACGATGAATCCGAGCACGGACGGCCTGAAGGATCGCGCAGCGACGTCGCCCGCGTTGTTCAACAGATGCGTCCTGAATTGGTTCGGCGACTGGTCGGACAACGCGCTGTTCCAGGTCGGCAAGGAGTTCACGAACCGGGTCGACCTGGAGAGACCCACGTGGAAGATCCCGGATTTCTTCCCGTCTGTCTGCTCCCTGATCCCGTCGCAACCGACGCACCGGGACGCCGTCATAAACGCGTGCGTCTACGTTCATCAGACTCTGCACAAGGCGAACGCCAGGCTGGCCAAGAGGGGCGCCCGCACCATGGCGATCACGCCGCGACACTACTTGGATTTCATCAATCACTTCGTCAAGCTGTACCAGGAGAAGAGGAGCGATCTGGAGGAGCAACAGCTGCACTTGAACGTCGGCTTGAGCAAAATTGCTGAAACGGTGGAGCAAGTGGAGGAGATGCAGAAGAGTTTGGCTGTCAAATCTCAGGTGACATGTCAATTTAATTGAAGTGGGAGTTGTTAAAAAATGAGCCATGTCAAATAATAAATAATGTTTTGATTTACATAATTTTACAAAAATATCTATTTACTAGTCTTAACTGTTTGACGAAAAAGTTATAAGGCTAAAATGGTCAAAAAGTGAATATTTTTTAATTTGACATAATCTTACATAAACTATGAAATATATATATCTCGTAAAATATTCATTTTTCAATGATCTTATCTTAATACCTTTATGTACAAAATAATGAGAGGAATCAATTGCTGTAAAGAAAAGTTATTTTTTCAATATATAAGTGTACAATTTATTTTGAAGATATGTCAAGAATATGAAGCTTAAGAGTATTTATATAATTGTTCTAAAAGAATTCCAAAAACAGTTTTATGATTAATTTAGGTTCCACTTTTGGGTGAAAAATGGCATATATTTAATATCCTCTTTTTTTGATAGAATGAAGAATATTTCTATATTATATAGAATATTTCTATATTATATAGAATATTTCTATATTATATAGAATATTTCCATATTTGACTTCCATATATCTATATTATTCCGTACTTTCAGGAACTTCAAGCGAAGAACGAAGCTGCGAATGCGAAGTTGAGGCAGATGGTGAAGGATCAGCAGGAAGCGGAGAAGAAGAAGGTGCAGAGTCAAGAGATCCAGCAGCAGTTGGCTATTCAAACGGTCGCCATCAACCAGAAGAGAGATGACGTCATGGCGGATCTTGCTCTTGTCGAACCAGCCGTCATTGATGCTCAAACTGGTACGTATCTTCAACAATACATATATTGAATATCACTTGCGAAAATACTGAAGAAACAGAGGCAGCACATTTCTGTCTTTTTTTGTTGAATTATATTCTCTTCAAAATTGCGATCCACCACTTTGACTTGTACTGAAATGTCACGAGTGCAGCCGTGAAGGCGATTAAGCGGCAGCATCTCGTCGAGATCCGATCTATGGCGAATCCGCCCGCGGTCGTGAAACTGGCTTTAGAGTCCATATGCCTGTTGCTCGAGGAAAACGCGACAGATTGGAAGCAGATTCGTGCCGTTATAATGAAGGACAGCTTCATCCCGACTATCGTCAACTTCAACACCGAGAGCATCATGTAAGGGAAGCAACGAAGTGTACAACAAGCGGGCCTCTGTCTGGGATTCTAATATACAAATCCATCACTTGATAACAGCTTGATATACGTGTCTTCATTTCAGCTGTGTAATGATAAGACGTTTAACACATGTGCAGAGTGTTCTATAGGAAATTGCTGAAACTAATCAGCTGTCATTTTTTAATACAGGTTATTGAGAAAACAAAAATTGTGTTGAAGAAAGGAAAGTCTACAGTTTTTAATGAATATAAATAAAATGTTTGTATACCAGTTTATTTGATTGAAAAGTAGTGAAAAGGTGTTAATAATCATGGTGTACAAACATTTTATTTATATCCATCCAAAACTGCAGACTTTCCTCTTTCCAACACAATTTTTGTTTTCTCCATGCATTAAAAAATGACAGCTGATTAGTTTCAGCAATTTCCTATGGAGCACCCTGTATATAACATATTGTATACATGTTACTTATATGTTGCCTCCTAACATGTTGAGGAAAGTCGCTCTCGCGGCCACTCTGTGACTTTACTCGTATAACTTTGCACATTCCTTTCTCCATGTACTACTAATAATAGTAATAATAATAATCGTGCCCCTTTGATTTTTCGTACAGCCGTGAAATCGATAAAGAAACAGCATTTAGTCGAAGTACGCTCCATGGCGAATCCGCCGGCGATCGTGAAGGTCGCGTTGGAGTCTATCTGCTTGTTGCTCGGCGAGAACGCCAGCGACTGGAAATCTATCCGCGCTGTCATCATGAGGGACAATTTTATCAATACCATTGTCTCTAATTTCAGTACCGAGGACATTACGTAAGCATGAATTCGTTCTCTAATCGTTTGATTTGACGCTGTATTATAGATATCGAGGGCCTAGTATATATATTTATTCTTGAATTATTTTAATTATTTATAATTAAAATTTATAATTATTTTAATTACTTTAATTCTCAAATAATTTATTTTAATTTTTTATTTTTATTTATAATTAATTTTTGAATATTGATATTTTAATTCTTGAATATATAAGTAGCTAAAATAATTAAATGTTTTGTATTATTTTTACTACTTATATATATTCACGAATTAAAATATAAATATTTACGAGTTAATTATAAATAATTAAAGAATTTACAAGGATTGAAATAATTAAAATAATTATAAATTTTATCTACTTATATATTCAAGAATTAATTATGTTTTTGCTAATTTCGTTTCTTTTATCAACTCATTTGTTGAATTTGAAACGCACTGTTGTGAAAAAATATGAGTTTTTATATATAGCTTTCTTTTTAATATATTTTCTATATCGTAAAATTCGCGCTATGTAAGTATGTGATATAATTTCTTACAAATTGCCTGCATTCAAAATTTTAACAAAAGCTTTTCTTTAAAAATACACAATGTATATGTTAACAAATTTACTAAAGTTAACTACTGCTATTCTTTCATTGCATGTTAACAATGATTGATGAATTTGTTATTAACATTAAATTTTATTTATTGACAATAAAATGTTCTAATCAAATTGAACGTGATGTACATATTTACAAAATTTCTTAATTTATTATGTCCAATATAAAAAATTATATAATATATTATTCAAAATATTATATAAAAAAAAAATATATATATATATATATATATATATATATATTCACAGTATTATAGAAAATATATAAATTACTTTAATATAACTTAAAAACACTAAATATCAAAACAGAGTCGAAAAAGTAGTTTTTATTATATCAAAAGCAATCAGAAAATAAATAAAAATTTTATTTAGTGACGAGGTGAGGGAAAAAATGAAGAGCCGGTATCTGAGCAATCCCGACTACAACTTTGAAAAGGTGAATCGCGCCAGTTTGGCTTGCGGTCCTATGGTGAAATGGGCCATAGCGCAGGTAATTTTTATTTCTTGAGAAAATATTTCAAGATTTATTTCTTTTTTTTTAATAAATTAAATTGGTATACAAACATTTTATTTATATCTATTAAAAACTGCAGACTTTCCTTCTTTCAACATAATTTTTGTTTTCTCAATAACTGTGTGCATTAAAAAATGACAGCTGATTAGTTTCAGTAATTTTCTATGGGACACCCTGTATATTATTTTTATCCAACATCGTCGCAGGAAAACAAACCATCATTTTATACAAATATATTTCCAGATCGAGTACGCTGACATGTTGAAGCGAGTCGAGCCGCTACGCGACGAGCTTCATTCTCTGGAACGTCAGGCGGAGACTAACAAACTGAAAGGCGAGGAGGTGAAGAACCTGATCGCTCAGCTGGAGCTGAGCATAGCCTCGTACAAGGAGGAGTACGCCCAGCTTATCTCGCAGGCACAGGCCATCAAGGCCGATCTCGAGAGCGTGCAAGCCAAGGTGGACAGATCGATCGCTCTGTTGAAGTCCCTGGTCATAGAGAGGGAAAGATGGGAAGCGACGAGCGAAACGTTCAAGAGCCAGATGTCCACGATAATCGGGGACGTTCTCTTGTCGTCCGCCTTCTTGGCTTACGCCGGCTATTTCGATCAACATGTAAGCAGTTTTTTTTGCATTTTTCCATGTGAAGAATAGCAAAATGACGTCATCAGCCGTTAAAATGACAGACCGTCACTTTGACGTCTAATAATGTTAGTTTGCTATTTGGGAAGTTTTATTTTCTAGGATATTCTTCAGAAATAATATTTTATATTTTAGATGTCATTAGATGGCAAAACAACGTCAAAGTGACGTCATTAGACGGCAAAGTGATGTCATGAAACGTCAAAGTGACGTCATTTTGATGTCTACTGACATTTAATATATAAAATATTTTCTGAAGAATATCCCAGAAAATGGAACTTCCCAAGTAGCAAACTAACATCATCAGATGACATCAGACGGCAAAGTGACGTCATTTTGACGTCTAATAATTAGTTTGTTACTTTAGAAGTTTTATTCTCTAGGACACTTCAGAAATAATATTTTATATATTAGATGTTATTAGACGTCAAAATGGTGTCACTTTGACGTCTAATGACGTCACTTTGCCGTCTAATGACGTCACTTTGACATCTAATGACGTTAAAATGACGTGCGCTTGCAATCTGGATTGATTATTGGATTCGACTCGGAAGTACTTGAATTTTATTTTCAGTATCGTCAAAACCTGTTCACCACGTGGTGCCAGCATCTGCACCACGCGAATCTGCAATTCAGGCCGGACATCGCCCGCACGGAGTACCTGTCGAATCCGGACGAGCGTCTGAGGTGGCAAGCGAACGCGTTGCCGACCGATGACCTGTGCACCGAGAACGCGATCATGCTGAAGCGCTTCAACAGATACCCGTTGATCATCGATCCGTCCGGCCAGGCGACGGAGTTCATAATGAACGAGTTCAAAGACCGGAAGATCACCAAGACCAGTTTCCTGGACGACTCGTTCCGGAAGAATCTGGAGAGCGCCCTGCGTTTCGGTAATCCATTGTTGGTCCAGGACGTCGAGAATTACGATCCTATATTGAATCCGGTGTTGAACCGGGAATTAAGACGTACCGGCGGACGCGTCCTGATCACGCTCGGCGATCAAGACATAGATCTGTCGCCGTCCTTCGTTATCTTCCTGTCGACGAGAGATCCGACGGTGGAATTCCCGCCCGACATCTGCTCCAGAGTGACTTTTGTCAACTTCACTGTGACCAGAAGCTCCCTGCAAAGCCAGTGCTTGAATCAGGTGCTGAAGGCCGAACGTCCGGACATCGACGAGAAGAGGTCCGACCTGTTGAAGCTGCAGGGAGAGTTTCACCTGCGGCTGCGGCAGCTGGAGAAGTCTCTGCTGCAGGCGTTGAACGACGCCAAGGGTAAGATCCTGGACGACGATTCCGTTATCACGACCTTGGAGACGCTGAAGCAGGAGGCCGCCGATATCAGCAAGAAGGTGGAGGAGACGGACAAGGTCATAGCGGAGATCGAGACGGTCTCTCAGCAGTACATGCCTCTGTCTCAGGCCTGCTCGAACATGTACTTCACGATGGACAGCCTGAATCAAGTACACTTCCTGTATCAATACTCCTTGAAAATGTTCCTGGACATCTTCACGTCCGTGTTACTACAAAATCCCAACTTGTCCGGCGTGTCCGATTACGGTCAACGGCTCACCCTGATCACGCGCGACCTCTTCACCGTGTGTTACGAAAGAGTGGCCCGCGGAATGCTGCACACGGACAGACTGACGTTCGCGCTCCTGCTCTGCCGCATCCACCTTAAGGGCATCCCCACGGAGTCCATGTACGACGGTGAGTTCACCTTCTTCCTGCGCGGCAAGGAGGGCGTGCTGAACATCCGGGCCCCACCGGTATCGAATCTCAGTTCCGAGCAGCAGGAAGCCATGATGCGCCTGGGCATAAGACTGCCGGCCTTCAAGAGACTCGCGGACAAGATTCAGGAGAACGCGGACTCGTTCGCCGCGTGGCTGCAGTCCCCCACACCGGAGACTTGCGTGCCCAAACTCTGGGACGAGGAGAAGCCGCTGTCGCCCACCGGGATAGCGATGCACCAGCTGCTGATAATACAGGCCTTCCGGCCGGATCGCGTGATCGCGGCCGCGTCCCTGGTCGTGGCCTCTGCTTTCGGGGACTCCTTCATGCCCGCGGCGGAGGCCGAGCTCGACTTCGCGTCCGTCGTGGAGAACCAGTTGAAGGCCACCGTGCCGGCTCTGCTGTGCTCGGTGCCCGGGTTTGACGCCTCGGGCCGAGTGGACGACCTGGCCGCTGAACTGGGCAAACAAATAGCCAGCATCGCTATAGGATCCGCCGAGGGATTCAATCAGGCGGACCGGGCGATAAACATGGCCGTGAAAGCCGGCAGGTGGGTGTTGCTGAAGAACGTGCACCTGGCCCCGCAGTGGTTAGTGCAGCTGGAGAAGAAGCTGCACAGTCTGCAGCCGCACGCTAGCTTCCGCTTGTTCCTCACTATGGAGATCAATCCGAAGGTACCGGTGAATCTACTGAGAGCCGGCAGGATCTTCGTGTTCGAGCCACCGCCCGGGATACGTGCGAACCTGCTGCGGACCTTCAGCACCGTCCCGGCTTCCCGGATGATGCGGGCGCCGAATGAGCGAGCTCGTCTCTACTTCCTGCTTGCTTGGTTCCACGCGATCGTCCAGGAGCGGCTGCGTTACGCTCCCCTGGGCTGGGCCAAGCACTACGAGTTCAACGAGAGCGACCTGAGGGTCGCCTGCGACACCCTGGACACGTGGATCGAGGCCACGGCGATGGGCAGGACGAATCTACCGCCCGAGAAGGTGCCCTGGGACGCCCTGGTGACCCTTCTCTCGCAGTGCATTTACGGCGGCAAGATCGATAACGACTTTGATCAGCGTCTGCTGGCTTCGTTCTTGCGCAAGCTCTTTACTCCGCGCTCGTTCGAGGCCGACTTCGCCCTCGTCGCGAATATAGACGGGGCGCAGAGCAATCAGAGACACATCACGATGCCGGACGGCACTAGGCGCGACCACTTTCTGAAGTGGATCGAGTCCCTCTCGGACAGGCAGACACCCTCCTGGCTTGGGCTGCCGAATAACGCAGAGAAGGTGCTCCTGACCACGAGAGGCACCGATCTAGTCTCCAAACTGCTCAAGATGCAACAGCTGGAGGACGAGGACGAGCTGGCGTACTCGAACGAGGAGTCCTTGGTCACACCGAGGGAAGCCGAGGCCGACGGCCGGCCGTCCTGGATGAGGACCTTGCACAACTCGGCCTCCACCTGGTTACAACTGCTACCAAAGAACCTGCTGATCTTGAAGAGAACGGTCGAGAATATCAAGGATCCGTTGTACAGATACTTCGAGAGGGAAGTCAACAGCGGGGCGAAATTACTTCAAGATGTTATCCACGATTTGGAGGATGTCGTATTGATCTGTCAAGTTAGTCAAGTTGATTGATTTTCTTTCAAACGATGGAATATATATTGGATAATCACATTTTGTTATTTTTGATAGGGCGAGAAGAAGCAAACCAATTATCACAGAACGATGCTATCTGAATTGGTGAAGGGTATTTTACCTGGAGGTTGGAGGAGATATACCGTGCCAAGAGGCTGTACGGTTATACAGTGGATCACCGATTTTAGTCATAGAGTCTCCCAGTTGCAGGAAGTCTCGCGTTTAGTCTCTCAGGGCGGAGCGAAAGAGATAAAGGTTTCTTTTTCATCTTTTTCCTTTAAATCATCGTTGATGAGAGACTCGTCTCGCTATTTTATTCTTGTAATAGTACTTACTATTTCGATAGAAAGTACTATAATAGCACTATTATATATAATAGTACTTACTAATACTTATATTGCTTAATAGTAATTAATATAGTGATAGAGTACTTAATATAGTAACATAGCAATAATAGTATTTAATAGTACTTAAAAATAGTATTTAATTTTTAATAGTACTTAAATAGTACTTCATATTTAATAGTACTTAAATAGTACTTAATATTGAATAATATTTAAATAGTAGGTAATATTGAATAGTACTTAAACACTACTTCATATTTAATAGTACTTAAATACTACTTAATATTTAATAGTATTTAAATAGTACTTAATGTTTAACAGTACTTATATAGTACTTAATATTTAACAGTATTAAAATAGCACTTATAGTACTTATATAGTATTTAATATTTAATAGTTATAATATTTAATAATTCTTGTTATTCATAAAAGATCGAATCTTTTATACATGAGAACAAGTAGTTTCTCCATCTACTAGTACTCCATCTCTACTACTAGAACCCTAAGATAAAAAATCTATTTATGATACATGCAACGTGTAACTTCTCTTAAAAGATTTGAACATACTTGACCAAGTTCGAGTCTACTTAAAATTCTGTTTTTATTAATTTCGAAACAATCATCAAAATTCGAATCTACTTTGATAAGATACTTAATCCCATTGTTGATGACCTTCCATCTGTTAATCATCACTTGTTCACTACGTAAACCTCTCCTCGACTGAATGATCGACAATATTTCTCTTTTTCAGAGTTTCCCAGTCTGGCTCGGAGGCTTGTTGAATCCCGAGGCTTATATCACCGCGACCAGGCAGTGCATCGCTCAGGCGAACAGCTGGTCCCTCGAGGAACTGCAACTGAACGTGACCATCGGCGACGGCGACAACATTGCTACGGACGATTGCTCGTTCGCGGTGACCGGGCTGAAGCTGCAGGGCGCGCAGTGCAAGGATAATCAGTTGTACTTGACCTCGACCATCATGACCGACCTGCCGGTGACGATGTTGAGGTGGGTGCGATCGTCCACGGAGGAGATCCGGCGGGGCAAGCTGTCCCTGCCGGTTTATCTGAACAGCACCCGCACCGAGCTCCTGTTCACCGTCGATTTGAATATCGCTCCTAGTCAAGAACCGCACAGTTTTTACGAGAGGGGAGTCGCCGTCTTGACATCCACCGCTTTGAATTAATGTATTAATTAACAAGACAGCGTTTAGCGCGAATTGTTTACCGCTATATTATGTAACTCACTATATATTATGCAGGAACAATTGTAAAACGTCGCCACGCATGTTACAGGATGTAAGTTTGTAAAGAAAACGCGGGCACAGATAGTAACATGCTGCTACAAGAGTCTAAAAGAAGAGGAAATAAGCATTGAAAAAAATCTATACATATTTTACACGATTGCTTTCAACTTTTTAAGGGACTTTTCTGCTGAATGTATTTAATTATAGAAACAGAAATTATGTTCGCCGCGGTATAATTAAATGTACATCATATTCTCGTTTAATAGAATAATTAATAGCTTCATGAGAAGGAGGTTGTAATATATATCTATATAGTTTATTTTAATTTTTATATACGTTCAGAGACTTCCCCTTCTCTCAAAGTACGATATTATGAATATCGATGATAACTATGAATATATATATAAATATATATATATATATATATATATATATATATATCGAGATATTATTATAGTGTTTATATAACACAGAATCTTAACTGGCATCTAATAAAGTCATACTGTAACTATACTATTTATCTCAGCTATTTGTAATTTAACTGCATATGTATATATTATCCCTAACATATATATTATATATCCTCTTATTTCTTCATTTATCATAATTTTATATAAGTTAAGCCAAAGATTATATAATTTGATAATTTTACTTTTTTATATGTATGTATCAATTTTTATTATATCGAAATAGATTTTGAAGGATAGATGTTGCTCGCAATTCAATAAGCTACGTCTTATCGCTATTAAAAAAAAATGAAATGGTTCTTTGAAACTGGCCAAGGTGACCGGACCCTTTTATCGCTGTGCTTTATCTGCATGTAAAATTCTCAAGAGGTTTGCTTTTATCCTATCGTAAATATTTCTATAAAAAGATAATACTCTCCACTTATCATCTGATATACACGTTGATGCAATTAATTCGCGTTCTTATCACGCTTTTCTGTGTCATATGACACGGGAGAGGAATTTCATATACAGTGTTCCGAAATTCCTGCAACAGTCAAACATCTCGAAAACAAAAGCTTTTGGAAAAAATAATGTTTAATTCGACTATAAATTATTTAATGCGTCACTTAAAACCCTACAACTTTTATTTGAAATATTGTTTTCTCGACAAGCCTTGTTTCCGAAATATTTGATGTAGCTGTTGCAGGACTTTTAGGATAGTCTTTATATGGATGCACCATGCAGGACGCATGTGGAAAATAACGAAACGCCCAAGGAATTTTATTATTTCATATATAATTATCTTAAACATATTACATGTATATACTTTTTGTACAGCATTATATCGTATATGTCAAAGTTATTTTGCCCAGGGTATACGAATGTTAGAAATGCATCTTTTTTTTTACTATTATAGACGTCTGAAAAAGTTTGCATATTCAACATGAAAGTGTTCCAAATCTAGATTTTGTGTGCATATATGTAATACAAATTAAATATATAGAACACAATAACTTTGAACGGGAATAAGGGAACGTAATAATAATAAGAATTAATAATATAGGGAGATCATATCAAGAATATATAGTTATACAGAAATACTTTAGAGATTTAGACTATATTTCTTCCTAAAAGTAGGAAGATTTTACATGTGTCGACAAAAAGGCTTAAATTATTTATTTGAGAGAGAACTACTTAAAGAAAAGAACTAATATAGAATTCTATTTTCTACAGATTATACACATAACGTGTGAATTAACATCATCCCTATTTCCCATATGTTATACTGTTTTATTCTAAAATTGTCTTATACGCGATAAAGTGCTTCTTCATGTGATCTTTTACACTAAAATTCGTTGCAATCACTGAATGCTACTAACTTTAGTTTATCAAGATGTGCATGATCAATCGTTGCTATATATTACTCAAATTATTTGGAAAAAAAACAAAGAATAATATTACATCCGAGCACAGAATACGGAATTTGTATATTTATATTGTTTTATAAACTCTGTCTGCTTCCGATGTTTAAAAAATTATATATCTTTACACATACGTGAATACATGCTAATTTATTTGAAAATGGCTAATATATACACACACACATTTGCAGATAAATTAAATATATATTAAATATTTTAGAATTCTTCCGTGAAATTTAATTTTATTACTCGATATACACATACATGTACATTTATATATATATCTATATCGAGAAATTATTATAGCTTTTTTGAATTTATATAATAATCAATTTGTCAATGTTGAATGAAAACAATTTTCTTCACATTGTTGGTTTCATAAATATATCCAATACGAAAAACCTATGTATGTTCTTTTATGTTAGGTATGCTAAAGATTTTTCTTTCTCATCAATGGTTTTTTATCTGAAATCTGAATAATTTCAAATTTATTAAATTAAAAAATTTGTTATATGCTATCTACAAAATAATATTTCTAGTAATCGATTTTATATCAATTGTATAATTATTCTTCGGTGAGATATTAATTGTGAATCATATTTAATTGCTTTTTCTCAAACTTTGCATTGCAGTTCGTTGCACAGTGACAGAAGGCTTAAAGTGAAAATTGTGCCAACTTTTTGCGCTTCTATTATCACCGATATAATTTGTTTTATCAATCTAGAATACCCTGAAATGAAGTTAATTATATGTGATATTTAACGCAAAGTATAAGTATACTTGAATTTGAACTGAACTATTTCCTGATAGTTAGTTGATTGTGATTTAGATCTATATGACGGCTTAACGTAATTAATAATTATTGTTTTACATCTATGTCCATATTTCATTATAACACTAATGACTAGACTTCATGTCATGTTGCTATTTTCTTCAATATGCGGCATAATTTTGCCTTCATTTTTCAGCAAAGTATTGTAAAACAAAGCCAAAAACGTTGAAATAGCAACATCCCAGTTTGCAGGTACAATCTATCTTCGGCTTTTAATAATGACGTGATCTGTGACTCGCGCTATTTAATATATATATGTTATGAATATAAGAAAATTTGTGATATGTCACATGTGTTTTGCACACTGACTAACAATTTGCTTTTTACTAGTTATATCCATATATATATATATATATATATATAAATATTGTATATATATTCGAATATAGAAACACTTATTATTTGTACAACAATCAGAAAATACGTTCATCATATCAGTGCGAAATATTTTTGTTTACTATTAGACGAATGTAAAGATTTATTCCACTCAACAAGAATTCTTCAGCGTTCTTTTTCGCAATAGTTTGTACCTGCAGACCGGCCCAAGTAGCAAACTTACGTCATTTTAACGTCCAATGACGTCAGTTTGCTACCTAGGGGTGCGTCACATGAGTCCATGTCATCATTTAGTTTTGTTTTCCAAGTGTTAATGTATCAGTCTTCAATGACGATGAATGGAAAATGTCAGTAAAGCTTGCTTGGTTTTTATCACTACGGATAAAGACACTATGAAATGAATGCCTGTACAGAAGCCTTCACGGGTTGACGACAAACCGCGCAAATCTTCATCGCTTTCGCGCAGTCCGCGCAGGCGATCAAGTGTCCGCATGGCATGAACACCATTCGCAGTTCGCTGTTGTAGCATATCTTGCACATTCTCGCGTCCTTGTCGACTGGTTTGTCGCATTTCGCTTGGACGGCAGGTTGCTCCTCGCTCGAAGGGCTCGCGGTCTCCTCGTGGGAACTGCTGGAACTTTGCGGAGTACTTTCAACAGCACTCTCGTTGTGAGCCGCAGTAGATGTAGACGTCTGCTCTTGAACGGCTGGTTTCGTGACAGTTTCCTGGAAAAATCATTCAAAATTAGCATGCCAATTCAGCTTGCAAATTTAACAGGTTCATTCTACAGGATATATACTCAAATCTTGTAAATAAATTCCATGATTTTTCAGGTACTTAAAATTTAAGTATTTAAAACATTTTTAATAAAGTATATTTTTGTTATACATAATTTTTTAACATAAATAAAATATTTTTAATATAATAATCTAATATTGTATTTTATAATAAAATATATTTCAATATACTTTATATAAACCTAATAAATTTATATTCTTCAAAGGTAAATTTGAAAATAAAATCAAGGGGCAATTTTGTGAAAAATCCCTGAAAATTCAAAATAAATTCCACGAGTATTCCAGGTTTCTTCAGGGAGTATACACCCTGTTCTACAAATGTACAAGGAAACAAAAATTACCGGCTTGGCGTAAGTTCTTCCCACAATTTTGTTCACGTAATCCCTCCCCTTGATCATCAGCAAGTAGGAACAGTAGTCGAACCACTTGGCGTGCTGCTCCCAGGGATCATCCTCCGGTTCCCAGTCCCTCAGTCCTCCTCCACAGTGATAGCAGAGGGTCTGATCGCCGTTTCCGTTGTAGAAGAAGCCGGCGGTCGCGAGTTCCTCCTTGGTCTGCGACATCGCTTTTGGCCAGGTGTCGAATGTAAGCAACCTGGCGTCGTAGCTGGCGTATTCCGGATGCTTGGGGGCCCTCAGAGCATTGTTGGTGGTCTCCGCGCTCGGTTTCTTCGCGCTTTCCACGCTAAACTCCTCGTTGTCGGGGCCGGAGAAGGGCATGTACACGGGTCCGTAAGGTCCGCAGACGTCCATCCCTTTGGGCACGGAGGCCGGAATCGAGTTGGGGTCCGCTCCGATGGGCACGTTGCCGCAGGGAACGTCGCGAACGAATCTGCATCTTCCGGACCATCGCTGGTGGTCGACCATGGGTTTGTCCTGCGGCTGCCACTGACAGATCTCCACGTGACACTCGAAGCACTTCACCTTGTCGCTCTGGCCGGTGTAGTAGAAGCCAGCCGCGGTCAGTATCTCCGGCTTCATCCACGTGCAGGACCAATTGTACTTCCTGAAGCTCTCTAACCGGGCGATTTCGAAGCGATAATCGATGTTGTCGACCTCGTCATTCGTCTTCTTGATGTCGTATAAGTGAGACGGTGTTATGGTTGCCCGCAAAGGATCCGGGGAGAAGATGTACCGTTCGATGCAGCTAGTCATGTTTGTACCGGAATTGAAAGAATGTTCCTGCGCTAGATCTGCAAAGAAGAGAGATGTTTTTTAAGTTTTCACATTAAATAACAATTTGTTAATTGCTCGAATTAGATTAGATTCACGTTCAATGGGAATGATATATGGAAGGAATTTTTATTGAATTTGAATGTAATTTTGAATGATACGCACTTCTTGTTTTTTTCTAGAATTTTTATCAAATGTATAATTATCTGAAATATTTGTACTGTAATAAAAATGTTATTAAAGAATAATTAATTGATTGACCATTTAAGGAATTAAGTTCTTTTTTTTTCATGTCTGCATTCTCGTTATGTGATGTTAGTTGAAATGGGAAGGAAAATTGTAATATTTCGACAAAATTTTGACAAATATTAGATTGCTCAAAGAATATATTCGTGTCTTCCTTTTGTTTTTTATTAGAATAAAAATTGTGCAGATTATTATACCAATTATATTAAAATTAGTTTCTTTTTCACAAAAAATAGTTTTAAAATTTATTTATATGCAAGTGTATTAATTTCAAAAAATTAAAAATAATATTTAGTGCTAATACACAAGATTTTAAATAAATATATATTATAAATAATAATATGGAATAAATAATAAAGATAAAATAATAATAATATGAAATAAAAACAGGGTTGGGAAGTAACGAGTTACTTGTAACGAAGTTACAGTTACAGTTACTTTTTTCGGTAACTATAACTTAATTTCGTTACTTTTCTCCATCTGTAACTGTAACTGTAACTTAATTACATTTTTTTAGTATAACTAGTAACTATTTTAACAGTTACTTTATGAGTTACTTTTTTGAAAACATGCGCTAAAAGTATCGTTCAAGTATGGTAGCCGTTATATTGTTATTAAATTCTGATAACAGAAACATATATATGATCTTCATATGATTTAATCTTTTACCTACAATTCTCATATATATTTAGTGTACATAAAATAATATAACACATAATTAAGATCGACCAATCACAGTCAATATTTAAAAAAATTCTTAAATGTAATAATTGGTCGATTTGCTTGCGACTTTGCGATTACCATTTAGTAAGTTACTAACTAATTGTTACTGTTGTTTATAAAGGTCATTTCCCAAGGAGAACAGAAGGTCAAAATTATGTCAATTTAACATCATATTGACTAAATATTGACCAAAAAATGACATAAATTTAGTCAATATGACATCAAATTGACATCATTTTGACTTTTCTGTTCTCCTTGGGTTCATACATTGATGGTAATTGCAAAGTCGCAAGCAAATCGATCAATTATTAGATTAAAGAATTTTTTTTAATACTTGACTGTGATTGTGCATAAAATGTAAGCTTCTTATATTAAAAATAATGTATATTATTTTTAAAAAATAACTGAAAAGTGACGACTCGTTACTTTTTGAGTAACTGTAACTGTAACGAGTTATTTTTTAAAATCGGTAACTTGTAACTGTAACTAGTTACTTTTACAAAGTAACTTTCCCAACCCTGAATAAAAATATAAATTATATTGAAAACATAATATCAAATATTTGCGGGTTTAATCGAATCGAGATTGATTAATTGTAATGTTATCATTAATCGATTAATATGACGTCATCATTAATCGATCTCAAATCGATTTAAATATCCTACAATTAGTGCTTTCGAATAAAGCAGATTTGATCGATTCGAGATCGATTATCGATCGACCAATCACAACCCTTTATTTTTCAGAAAAATGCTACTTGGCCAATGACGTCGATAATCGCTCTTAAATCGATTAAATCTGCTTTTATTTGAAAACTGTATGCAAAGATAATAAAAGATGATGCTAATAATATTGATTCGATGGGTTTCAATATTCATTGTCAGCGTCGGAGAACACGTGTAATTGGAAATGCCAATTCATTTTTGATCATTTGACGTCTTTCGACGTTAAAAAATGAGCTAGTGTAAGAAGATATTTTCGGTCAATTATTAGAGGTGCTTCTTTGCTCATCCACCTTTCATTTCTCTTACTCAAAAAAATCATTAGTTTCGAAAGCACATGCACTCATATTACAAATTGCGATATGCATACATATGTTAGATCACGTGACGTGACCACACTTCCTTTTCTCCTTCCGCTGATAGAATTTATTCATACATATAACCATAAAATATAATTTAACCTATAACAAACTAATATAATAACCTATAATAAAATAAAATATAAAAAAAGCTATAATAAAATAATCTATAATAAAATATAACCTATAAAACATAATCCATGTACGATATCGACAAATTAATAATGCTAATGGAGTACCCAGAATTTGTGTCACTAAATAAATAAATATATATCAAAGCTGAAGGGAGAAAACACGTGGTTGAATTAGAAGAGAATACCTTTTTTTACATGATGCACACACTGCCATATAACTGTAGATAACATGTTTGAACTGTTTGAAGTGAGAAATAAAAAGACATGAGAAATGCCGACTATAGTTGGAGGAGGTTGAAGAAGGAACAAACTTTCAATGCACCGTCAGACTTCTGACTGTGAGGCACGAACTATAGATTATTAAGCTACAGTGGGAAAGCAACGTTGCCACATCCACTTATTCTGGTTCCGTTCATCTTATTAGCTCAGAACGTATTTCAGAATGTAGAATGAAGAATGTAGCGCCAACAGCGCCGATTGCTCCAAACTCCAATCCGGCGCCAGTCTCCCTTCGAGAAGAAGATGCAACGGAAGGGGAGATACTTTTCTAGAATTTTTCTCCATTTTACTCGAAGTTTCCTGGAAATTATTATCCCGAAAGATTCTCGTGAATATGGTAACGATACATTTTTTCAGAAATGCATATCTTCGGACAACTTCAGAAATGACAATCAGCTGATTTTGACAAGTTGAAATAATCTTAGATTTTTTCCCTTTTGAATCGATCAATTTTCGATTAATCAATTCTAAATTTGCAAAAAGATCTATGTCGATGATGGTAATAATGACAAGACGAAATAGTAGAAATGACAATCAGCTGATTTTGACAAGTCGAAATAATACTAGATTTTTTGGCACTTGAATCGATCATTAATCAATTTGCAAAAAATATCTATGTTGATGATAATAATGACAAGTCGAAATAGTACTACGAAATTTCTTGGTACTTGAATCAATCATTGATCAATTTTTCATTTGCAAAAAGATCTATGTCGATGATGATAATAATGACAAGTCGAAATAGTACTACGAAATTTCTTGATACTTGAATCAATCATTGATCAATTTTTCATTTGCAGAAAGATCTATGTCGAGGATCTATGATGATGACAATGATGATGACACTCGGAAAGTTTGAAATATAGGTATATGGTATATGGTTCGCTGTATAACAAAAGGTTATCCACCAGCGAGAGAGAGTGCTAGCGGTGCAGTTACCAGCCATTCCGTGATTCCTGAGTGAGAAGAGTGGGGTTAGGAATTTTACTCTTGTGAAAGGTAACGCTTCAATCATGCTCTATCGGAAACCGAGTCATCCGCTATGCATTAAACTGGCTTCAACAACTCGTTTTCTATCTTCGAGTCCATCATATATATACATATATGCATCTCCCGTTGTTAGAAAACGCGTTTTTCTGCTTTTTTTTTTAACAACGAATAAACCCAAGTAGAAGAAAAAGTCAAAATTTTACCAATATGGTATCAAAGTGAACAAATTTGGACTGCAAATTTATACTCCAAATTTGAGGGCTATGACGTCAAATTGACACTATTTGACTTTTCTGTTTCACGTGGAGAAAACTCTTCTTGGCTTCGTCGATTTCAATGTTTTCAGCCTTGAAGTTCAATTAACAAAGAACCTTTATCATTCTCGATTGCTTGTAATTTATTGACAAGCGCGTTGGCGAGCTCCCGTACAATTTTCGCCAATCAAACTAAAATCGACTATTATATTCGCAGGTCAACTTCAAATCGATCGTTCAAGGATACATTTTACGAACTGTGTCCTGAGAGGATTTTGTAATATCTCGATACGTTGCAAAAAAAATGACGCATCAAAACGGCCACACATAGTGCACGCCTTGTTTATCGTCCAGAGATTTATACAAAATGACATCAGCGCGAAACCTTTCCTTTGAAGACTGACTGTTAGAATGACTCTTTCATCCGGTCGAGCAGTTAGCAACAGAGATGGAAATTTACAATGTAAGCGTGTAATCGAAAAATCATGCTTTGGTTCTAACATAGTATCAATTTTGAATGTGTTCTGTAGATGACACTATTGAAAATTATAATTATAAACAATATATAAAAATATAAGAGAATATAATTAAAAACAATATATATAAAATTGTTAGATATTTGATATACATTTATACAATTCAAAGTTCGCTTTTAATCTTTATGGCGAATGAATATGAATCAGAAATTTATAGAGCTCTTTTCGTCGAAATCTTATTCATTCAAATAACAAATGATGATATGAAAATGTCTGTGGACTTTGTGCACTTGTAGAAAAAAATTGATTACTAACTGATTTTGTTACCACAAATTCTTTGTAAGGAATGATTAGCGACTTATCATGAAAGTCATGGAAAAAGATGACAATTAAATAAAATAATCTTATCATATCTAAGAAACAAAATAAATATATATATATATATACACTAGGATATTTAAAAAAGTTGTTTAAAGTCTGTAGAGTTGGTGGAAATTTCCCAAAACGACCACACCAAGTCACAGAATACAGTTACATGACAGGTTATCGGTTCAACAACTGAAAGGCAAATATCTTTCGACACGAAAAACCTTTGTACTCGAGAAAAAGATACCATGTCGAAATGATGAATAGACTTGAATTAGTGTTTCACAATTGCCAAATATTTTGAGGAATGATGAAAGAGGAGAGAAAAGAGGCGCCATCCACGTGACAAGCGATATCAACCATCTTAATTATAAATAAATTATTCGAACAGTTAAGACACACATTAAAAATTCATTCGTCAAAAGAAACGCGTCATTGGACTCATATTGGCGTCCAGTTTTTTTTTTTAATCAATAAATTAGATTACGTGTGCAAAAATATTAAAATAAAAATAGCTTTTTACGCCACTGGACATAGACGTAATCAATAATTGATCTGACAATTCCACTTGAGATTATTCTAATATTGCATTCTCTTTTTCAGATCGATTGTTTACTATCGTCGCTCGATTAACAGCCAAAATCTCCATCAAATATTAGACCCACCCAATAAACAATGTGAGATAAGAAGCGACGCCATCGTACTTGAAAGGATGCCGATAAAACAGAAGGTGGAGGAGAAGGGGAAAGAGGAAGCATAAACAGATGACGATCGAATTTCGAGGAACTGTAAAATAAGCCAAGTAATATATCGCGATCAATCGCACTTATCACGACGTTATCACCCCATTTCAACTCGTGTTTCGTTAAATTCAGGTGCGTCCCGTCTGTTACGTAAACATAAGAGCTGGTAGACCAAGGAAAAAAAAACATTGGCTCGGTATGCGAGGAAAGGAGGAATGCGGGACACTTTCCATGATCTGGTCGGGGACCTGGCCTAGGAAATGCAATTCGTGGATTAATGATTATCGAGATAAGGCGAGAGACGAAAAAGTGAAAATCACACATACCCGCGTCCCGAATCGGCCTGCCTGCTGCGAATCGACGACGACACGGCTTTGTCCTTCGGCCCGACCGCTCTCTCTTTTCCCTGATTACGTCCCGTTTCGCGAGTGTGTCGCGCGGGCGCGGATGTGTCTTCGCCGTCGTGTGATTTATCGAGCGAATTTTCTTCGGGGGAAAAATATACGCGTACTTTTTTTAAACGCGACGAGTTTGTCCCGACGACGACGACGCGCGATGTAGAGCTGGGGAGCGCGAGTAAACGAATACCACGGCCTCACGGACGTAGCGGCGAAGCAGCTGCTCTCACTCGGGGGGAACGGGCACAAAAGCGTACGCGGTATCGTGTATAGATTGTACTATAGCTGGGACGATTACGCGCTATATACGATGCACGCTCGGCGCGGTGACTATAGCTGTCAGTGACGGCGTCGCGGTTCCCGAGATCCCCGGCCACGCGTGAGAGAGGTGTTGTATTTAAAAAAACCTCGATTCCTCTGTCGACGACCTGTCCCACCACAGGGCATCCCCACCGAGAATTTTACTTGAGAATCTTGAGATATCATTCTTACGAAATTCTACGACGCAGGAAATTCTTGCGCGTTTTGTTGTCATTTTTGTTATTTTTTTCTTCTTTATTGTATAGGTCGTTATATACGTTATGATAAAATTGTTTGCATGTATAATAAATATATATAATGAACAATTTGTTTTTACGTATAATAAATTATATAATAATATAATATATATAAAAATTATGTATATATAGGAAATATTTTTTACTTAAAAATAAAATATATAATAAAAATTTTGTTTATACATATAATAAATTATATATTATAATATAACACATATAAAAATTATGTATGTATATATAATAAAAATTTTTTACATAAAAAATAAATATATAATAAATATATATGTGATAAAAATAAATATATATAATAATATAATATACATATATAATAGATAAAAAAATAATATATGATTGAAAAATCCGTGAGACTTATTTTTAGAATATTTTTACGAATGTAATTAATTTTACACAAAATCTATTTATATATATATATGAATAATATATAATAAGACAGTTTAACGTATAATAATAATTGCTCTCAGAATCGGATAAATTATGTTCCATGTCCTCAAACCTAGATTTCATATTGCTGTCTTATGGACCAATTTTGGATAGAGTGCTATTTGGAACTCTTATACAATATCTCTTGTTCCTATAATCTAATCTAATCTTTAACTCCATAATCTCCTTTTACGTTTTGACGAGAAAAGGCCGAAGGATCAAAATACAAAAATCTCTATAGAAACGAGAAAACTCCGGAGAAATTCCAGGGATTCCTTTCCTCTCCCCCAGGTTGATACGGTCCTAAATAGAGAGCTGCGCGGTCGCGTGTACATATATAGCATATGTGTATACTTTGAGCAATGGCGACGAAGAAGGGAGATGAAAAAGGTCACCTTAGCTTTGCTCGCAGATCTCGCTTGTATGCAAAAATTCCATCTTTGTTCGCGAAATACGAGTCCGAGAGAGAAAAACTGAAATTCACAGAATTGTCATTCTATATCTTTTCGGGTCCTGTCCCGTTCTTTTTTATCGATTTTCCTTCAGTGCGTTGACCGTAGATATGAGTTGGGGTTAGGTTGTTTTAAGGGCGGGCGGCTTAAACGTTTCTACCGGAAAAGACCCTAATAGATTCTTTTTTTTATTGGTTCCAACGAGACCATTGACGCAACAAGGGTGGTCTAGAATCAGTCTTTCTAAACTTCCGATACGCTTGTCGAATCGTTTTCCATCGCGTCTCTTTGTTTCTAAAAATATATATGCTCGACTTATATGTTGGACGCTCTTCAGGAAAAATGCATAAAGCGTTTCAAAACTGGCGATAATGTTTTAATGGGAAATTCCGAAGATTATTTACGATTGAAAATAGTAATTTATAAATTAAGCTTTGTGAAAATAAAATATTACAAAACTAGATTCTTCGGTTAATTTCAGGTGGAGTTTACTTTAATAGAATTTTAATTTAAGGCTTAATTATAAAGATACATACGTGATGGCAAAAATTGGGAAATATAAAAAATGATCTCCCTCGACATTTTCTGAGGAATCTGTCATTAAAAATGGATTAATTTAATAGTGGACATCATCATGATTTCTATGCAAAAAATTCTATAACAAAGGAATGCGGGTAGGCAATAAAGTGTGAGAATTTTCTGACCTGTGTAAATAAATGTAGAAAAAGCGTGAGAAAATGCTGATTCAAAATCTAGAATATATAATACTGTCTATACTAGCCTAATTCCATTATTTACACTACGTGACAAGGTTTTCTTATAAATTCTTAGTGGAATTCTTTAATATTTTGCTATACATTATCATAGATGATTTTGCTAATATTTAGCAAGCGAGATGACGTAAAATTAATTATGTATATTCATTTGTAAATTTAAAGTATATTAATATTTTTATTTTATTTTTTTTATTTTTAAATTATATTAAAAATGTTTTTTTTTTAATTTTCTTACTTTATATTATTTTTCTCGCAAAAAAACGAAGAAATTTCACGGAAAGCATTTTATAGCTTAAGAGCGATCTCTACACAAAAGGATTTATGGACGAAACATTAGACATGACACATTTTGCGACACGTGAAACATTTCTAACATTATTAATTCGATAGGATATTAATGTAATATAATAGCGGTTAAAATATGACTTGATAATTTATGTAACACTGAAGAAGACTGCGTGCAGTCGAAACGTCTAGATAATTCTTTTATGTAAGATTCTGTAAATTTACGGTTTGTCCGATTTGATAATTGATATTTTTTCGGTTTAACAATGCTTGTAGAATATATTAAATAAATTTCTGATTCTAACATTCTATTTAATGCTCGTTATGCTGGCCTCTTTTACTATATTGATTGTTTCAACAATATACGAGCGAATATTAAATTCGTGTTAATTGTTATATTATTTTATTTTTTTAGTAAATGGAGCTTGACTCGTATCGATTGACAAAAAGAATTGAATGATACTTTATGTATCATGTGATCTCACTGTAATATGTTCATCATTATACATATAATTATAGAATGTATGATTTTTCCTATTTTTCCTAATTATGATATATTTTGCCATACATATTATAGACGATTTTCGATAGCTAATATTTAGCTAATATTTATATTCATTTGTAGATTTAAAGTATGAGATGTTATCTTTTTTTTAAATTAATGAAGCTTATTGAATCGATCGTTATTGGAAAAATTTAAACATCGATTGGCTTTTAATATTTTGCGAGATTAATTGGCCGAAATATCGTGTATATCATGTTTAATCTTATCGTTTGGATTCGCGCGAGATCAAACGAGACACAATAACATGACATTACCGAAAAAGTGATATATATATATATCTTGTCGTCTCGAGGAAAATATTGTACGCACGCATTTAAACGACACGTAATGATGACGAATAATCACGAATTCTCGGAAGAGAGTATCATTGCGTAGCCCTTTTTGCTAATGAATTGGAGTTCAAACTATACTATATTTATTACAGAGTTAATTTTTGTTTTTAATAATCAAAATTAAATTTATTAAAATAATCTAAATTTAATTAATTAAATAATTTTAGCAATATTATTAATTAATTTTTTTATTATACATTATAATCGAAAATTACAAAAAGGAGAATTTTTGTAAATTAATATTATTTTGTTTTTTTAAATCTATTTACATACCAGAAAATAGTTCGTAAAATTGTGTACTATATCATAAAACTCATTCTCATTTCTAGTAATTAAAATGTAAATTTAATATTAATTCAATTAATATAATATTATTAATTTTTTATTAATATAAAATTAATAAATTATAATATTATTCAGTTTTTAAATTTATTTATACAACGTCAGAAAAGAATTTATAAAATTATAAAGTCTTTCTCATATAATATTTTACTTGTTTTCATATAAAAGGAATCTTTAATTAAATACATATATCAAATAAGTAGTAGGCTCATGTGTGTAATATTAATAAGAAACGCTGTTTCGAAAAGTTTATATAGAATCACATTATTATACGCACAATCCTCGTATCATTATCTTATTATCCTATTATTGCCTCTCTTGTTTCCGAGAAAAATTCAATAATCAATTTTAATCTTAATGTATTAAATGTAATTTATTACAAGACAATGGACATCGTGGAATTGTTATTTTAAGTCAACAATGTTTTCCGAATCTCGAGTTTTATTCGTTGTTGAAATAATTACGCAATAAATTCTACAGTGAAAAAATTATTAAATTAATAAATATTTATTTCAATACTGTCTAATAAATTATTATATTATTAATATTTATAATTATTATTATTTTAATATTTTAATTATTATTATTAATATATGAAACAAATAAATATTTATCTGTTTCGAAAAGGATTTTTTTTATATCAAATAAATATTTTTACATCAAACCAATATTATCAGTTTCAACTAAATGATTTATTCGGCAGTATTGAAATAAATACTTATTCGAATTCAATCAATTTTCTTTCCAGCGTACTAAATGTTGCTGCTGAAAGTCGGCTGCAAACATTAAATGAAAGATCTTTTGTATGAGAGCGATAGGGGACCAATCCTTGAAAAACATTCCATTCGCGCACCTTTTGTGCATTTTCAAAGGACTTGAAATTTTTCTGATAGTTCTGGCGCCGTCGAGCTGCAGCAAGATTAAATTAATGCAGCGGCATGTTTTTCATCGGAATGTTTTTTTATATATACAATTTCCCACGGTTTTTCCAGTAAAAAATTTTGCAGTAAGATTCCAGACGAACTATATAACGCGGCAGATATTTCTTAATCGATTATTATAGATATACATTTTTATTGCGATATGATATACGTTACCGAGAATTGATATTATCTCTACTCGGTGGCCTTTCTTTATTTTTCTCGTGCTCGCGATAAATATACAGAGTGTTCCAGACTCTTGAGGCGATTTGGAGACGATTTTTCCTGAGCGAAAATGTTCACGCATCAATAATTATCGACTTATAAACGACTGAAAATAAAAGCTTTTTATAAACTAAGCCTTGTGAAAATAAATGATTCACAAAACTATACATTTTTTAATTACTTTCAGGTAAAGTTTACTTTAACAAAATTCTAATTTAAGGCTTACAAAGATACATGATTTCAAAAATTGGGAACCTTAAAAAAATAATGACCTTCCTCGACATTTTCGCTGAGAAAAAAGGATGGGACATCCTATATAAACATGCTCTCTTGTAAACAGATTTGATAAAAGAATTAAATGGAAATTTTAACGAATTTAACTTGAAGAGATTTTTAAATTCGATTTCTTATATAAAAAATATTTATGTAAAATATATTCTACACAGTTGAAAAATTTGTGTTAAATTTAATAAATATCACATGTTCCAGAAATTTTTGTGTTAAGTTAACATAATATGGATATGTTAAATGGGAGATGCAAATATTATGTTAATATTTTGATACAAAATAAATGCAAAACTTCAAGTAATTTAAAATAAATTTTGTGTAAAATTAACAGTTTTAATGTAAAAATTAACTAAAATATGTTAATATAAAATTTTATTATTCTCACTTATATTATAAAATAAAAAATTACCATTTTTTCTGTAAAACAGAAAAATCTTGTCACTAATAACACAAAACATATTTATTGTGCAAAATTAAAAAATTTTACATTTTTTTCAGCTGTTTTAATAATTTAACATTTAAGTTCAATTAACCTCATAACAATATGTTAAATTAACACATAAATGTTCTAAATATTTCACACGAAAATTTCAACGCCGACCGTTTTTAACGAGAAAACACAAATTTTCTTACTGTGTAAATTATTCTGTCTTGAAAACTTTTTCAAGTGAACGATTAAACACTATCTTGTGGCCTAGTATGGGATGCATGAAAATTAGAAATGTATCCTTGACATTTGGAATTTGAAATGTCTTTGACCGATTATATAGAAGGAACGGGACAAAGGTTTCTTTATCTTAAATCTCAACGATAAGCAAAGTAGTTGTAATGTCAAATCGACCCTAGTATAATATTTTTAGTATTTTTATACGAATCGATTTTTATTTTGAAAAATAAGATGGACAAAATATTGACGACGTAGCGTTTTATTACACACAATTATTACATGAAAAATTTGCATCTTGATGCATCACAAAATTATTAAAGTTTATATAGATTGTTCCGAAATATCGTTTTAATACACATATTTATTGAATTTAATTACATATATTTTGTAAAATAGATTACCCTTTCATTGTTTCTTCTGCCTCCTCTAGCAGTCAGAAATGTTATATACAATATAACTAATAATTTTTGCGATACAGATTACCTTATTTGTATTTATTCATACTTCTGTTTGTGTGAATATAAAATATAAAAACAATTGTATGTTCTATTATTTATAATGAACACAGTATATACAGTGATCACGCATGATACATTAGTATCATTTCGAGAATATTTTTCTTATCGATTGTTTATTTAACTTTTTATTACGATTGTTTATTTAACTAAAAAACTTCTTTAATTAAAGAAAAAAACATTTAAAAAATTTTAATGATAAATAAAGTAAAAGAAAACAAATCAAAACAAAAATACAATCAGATAAAAAAAAAGTTAATTTTTCATAATTATATAATTTTTTCGTAAGGCAATATAGCTCATTAGTATTTTCATAATTATTATTCTTGTACTGAATTTTATATCTTTGTTAGACGGATTGGATTCTACACTTTTGTCAACCTCTTCAACGATTACAAATGATTCTGTTATATCCTGGAAAACAATTAAAAAATTAACATATTATTATACATCCTTAATCCTTAAATAATATCGCGCGAATGACATTAATAGTCTATTAAATTTTGCACAAATCAGCAATTTTGATTAATATGAATTTAAGTTTATTATATATATTTAAACATTCAAATAATATATATATGTCATAATAACATCTCCACCAATATATTAACGTTATGTAAACTTTTAATAAACGTTTTATCGTTTGTTAATCTGCAAATGGTTTGTTCCTTTAACGATGAGAATGTCCGTGTAGAACAGTAAAAATCCAAAGAATTGTATCACTCGAAGAATTGTGAGTTTTATATATTTTTAGTGCACAGAGAATATATTGATGTGTTCATTAAATTTGCAATCTTTTAAAACTCTATTGAATAAGTCTCAATAATAAGTAATGTAAGTATTATATAACACGTTTGACTAGATGAACATTCACATGTTTTATGAATGTTAAGAAAATCCCAGCAAACACCGATATATAATTGTTACATTGTTATACGGAATATAACAGGTAATATAACGTGTACGTTACATGTAACATCTATGTTAGTTGTAATTTCCCACTCATAGATGTAACATTTTAATATAATATATATTACATTGTAGTTATATTGTAATTATATACCAAATAGCACATTGATGTATTGATAAGTCAGTGCTATCTTGGGATATAATGACAATATAACTACAATGTAATATATGTAATATTAAAAATGTTACATCTATGAGTGGGAAATTACAACTAACATATACGTTACATGTAACATCCTATATACATGTAAGTATTCAAGCATGTTACATGTAACGTATATGTTAGTTGTAATTTCCCACAATCATGTATGGATAATAAATAGATTTATAGTTTATCTAACTTCACATTTTGTCGATAAAACAAGAAAAAACAACAGACTTCTTAAGGTCATTTACTCATACAGCACAACAAGATTGCAGCAGCATTGTGGCAACATTTCATTGCAATATTATAATATTGCATAAACATTGTGAAATGTTGCAGCAATTTTGCTGCAAGGTTGCAGCAACGGCAAAATGTCCGCTTTCAGAAATATTGTTCTATAACATTGCAGCAATAATGCAATAAAATATATATGTAATCCCAGTAATCAAAAAATTATTGCTACAACGTTATTTTTGTTCACAAGTATATAGTTTTTAACATTGTATGCAACATCATTATGAACAAACTTTGACATCGATTTAGAGGTTTCGGTAATGTTGAAATTAACGTTTTTAAAATATTTTATTAATATTTTGAGCAATATATGTCATTAAATAATATTTTTAAAACATTTATAAAACATTAGTTAAAATATTTTTTTAGAATATTTATTAATAATATTTTAAACATATATTTATAAAAAACATTATATCATAACGTTTAGAAAATTTATATAAAATCAACATTATAAAATGTTGATTAAATATTTCTTGCTTACTATGGGATATTACTATTGGATTATTGGAAATGTGCCAAATACATAATCGGACTGAATGTTCTGTACCTATATAATATTTTTTGTGTGAATTTTATTTTCATAATATTTCTGAAATGTTGCTGCAACGTTGTTTAAACTATATTGTAAATTCATGCCTATATAATATTCCTGTAATATTGCTATGTAATGTACAATATTGCAATGTTGTTGCAATATTGCTGCAAACTTGTGTGCTGTATGGGTAGGATTCCTTTAAGGTTAGAAAGTTTCTGAAACGCTTATATGTATAACGTTAATGTGTTGGTGGGAATATATATCTTTACATTTTAATTCGTCTTTTAAAAATGCTTCCTAAAATATTTACCTCGTGTATTTCGTCAGTGATCTTGTTCACATAATTCCTTCCTTTGACCATACGCAAATAAGAACAGAATTTGAACGATTTGGCGTGCTGCTCCCAAGGATCATCTTCCGGCTTCCAATCTCGCAAACTTATTCCGCAATGAAAGCAGACTGTCTTGTCGTCGCTTCCTGTGTAGAATAAACCGGCGGCCGTCAAATCCTCTTTAGTTTGTGATTTAGTTTTAGGCCAGGTGCTAAATGTATATAATCTTAGGTCGTAGCAGACGAATTCCGGAAATGTAGGTAGAATCTCACTGAAATTAGGCTTCCTGAAAGTCCCCTCTTTGTATACATCCTCGTTGACTTTCCACTTTAATTCCAGATACCTTTTGTAATTTTTGTTCTCGCAAACTCCGCATTCGTCGAGTACTTTAGACATGAAGATGAATCTCTTTGGGAACTTTTTGAGAACTTGCTCAACAAGTGACACGTTGCCGCATGGAATATTACAGACGAAACGGCATGCCTTGGACCATTGACGATGTTTCAGCATCGGGTCGTCATTATTTTGCCAATTATGCAGATGCAGCTTACATTCGAAACAGCATACAATATCGCTTTTTCCGGTGTAGTAAAATCCAGCCGCCGCAAGCGGTACCGGATTTATCGATGCTTTTGGCCATTTTTCGAAGCTTCTTATACGGCTCTTGTACTCGAATTTATATTCATAACGTACACAGAGTCGGGCTTTTGAAGGAATATTTGTAATACTGAAGTTGGGCATAAGTTCTGAGTCATATAGAGTCATTTTTCTATATTTGCATAGATACTTTGTCTCGAAACTATTAAAAAAAAAAAAAAAAGGCATTATATATTAGTTAAAAATCTTATTACTATAATAATATAATTTTTTTATTTTTTAATAAATTATTTATATATTGTTAATTACATGTTATATTTAATATATTATTAATTATAATAAATAAAAACATATTCTTTTTAATATATTTCAATATATATTTTAATATATTTCAATATATTTTAATTTAATATCTAATCTATTAATATTAATTAATAACTATTATTTTTATAACAAAATGAAACTCTAGTATCAGAGAAAAAAAGTATTATACAAAATAATAAATTTCGAATCAAAGATATCGATTTTTTACTTTTTAGAATCAAATATATGTGGCATTTAAAGTCATAGTTGATAATCTTATTTTGTCCAAGAAACTATGAATGAAATTGTAATCCAATTGAGAAACTTTTACGGAGAACCCGTTGAATGTGGAAGACAAATATAGCAGTATATATATATACGAGGGTCACTATTTATATTTCGGGAATAGGAACAAAAACAAATAGTTAAGCTACGAATATATTTTTATTGTTTTTCAAAGTACTCGCCACGATGATCGATACACTTTTGCATGCGCTTAAACTAATTTTCAAAGCATTTATTCCATTCCGAATAAGGTATCTCCAAAACATGATTTTTGAACGCTTCAATAGCTTCTTCGGGCGATGAAAATCGTTGACCACGCAGTTTATTCTTCACGGATGGGAACAAAAAGAAATCATTGGGTGCCAAATCAGGGCTGTACGGCGGATGACCCATCAATTCGATGTTTTGAGTGCTCAAATAGTCTCTTGTTTGAGCCGATGTGTGAGAGCTCGCATTGTCACGATGAAGAACAATCCGACGTCTCTTGTTTGTTTTCCTTATTTCACCGAAGATTTCTGGCAAATAGATGGTTGTGTACCACTCAGAATTTACTGTTCTACGATCCTCTAGAGGCACTGTTGCAATATGACCAGTTTTTCCGAAGAAACAGGCCACCATTTTCTTTGAAGTCCTTCGTGCGCGAACAACTTTTGTTGGATTTGGTTCATCTTGGAACACCCATACAGTCGACTGCTGCTTACTTTCGGGCTCATACGAATATATCCATGATTCGTCACCTGTCACGATTTTATAAACGTCTTTTGAAGCACCGCGATTGTATTTCTTAAGCATTTCTTTGCACCAATCGACACGAGCTTTTTTTGAGCGATTGTCAAATTATGTGGGATCCAACGCGAACATAACTTTTGCACAGCTAAGTGTTCATGTAAAATCGCATATATGCTGGTGGAACTAATGCTTAGGGATGCCTCAATCTCACAATAGGTTACATGACGATCTTGCTTAATCATTTCGTGCACAGCATCGATGTTTTCTGACTACAGTCGATTTTGGACGACCTTCACGAAACTCGTCGGACAGCGAACTATGACCACGATTGAATTCACTATACCAGCGATACACAGTGGTTTTTGATGGAGCTTCATCGCCAAAAGTCAAATTAAGTTGATTGACGCACTCTTGTTGTGATAATCCACGTCGTAAAAAATCATCGCACGAAAATGTTCACGATTCAGTTCCATTTTTTGCCGAGACGAAACTTTCAACTAAATATAAAATAAACAAATAGCGTCCGTATGACAAAATGTTCTGAGTACGTATATCGTCAAAAATGTCAAACTTTACGATGGAACCGTCAGATGGACTCACATGACATCAGTGTTGCCAATTCCCGAAATATAAATAGTGACCCTCATATATACCCAGCAAACACCGATATATAATTGTTACATTGCTATAATAAAACGGAATATAACAGGTAATATAACGTGTACGTTACATGTAACATCCATGTTAGTTGTAATTTCCCACTCATAGATGTAACATTTTAATATAACATATATTACATTGTAGTTATATTGTAATTATACACCAAATAACACATTGATGTATTGATAAGTCAGTGCTATCTTGAGATATAATGACAATATAACTACAATGTAATATATGTAATATTAAAAATGTTACATCTATGAATGGGAAATTACAACTAACATATACGTTACATGTAACATGCTTAAGTATATAACATTTATATACTGTGTTTGCTGGGTATATATATATATATATATATATATATATATATATATATATATATATATTTGCTTTCTAATTTGACTTCAAATCTCTGGTGCTTAAACTTTATAATGGATTACAATGGATTACAATGGATTACAATTTCATGCAGCTTCTTGACTACGAGGTTATCTAATTATCCCTTTTTCCCACTTTCGACGCAGAAAAATTTTTTACACCAAAAGATTAGAGTCGGTTGCTAGTTATAAAGACTATAAAGAAATCAATCCTTTGACTTGAAGGATTTAAGGATTACTGAAAAAATCAATACATTACACGGGTAAAAATTTTTCATATAATCCTCTTTTATGTAAACACGAGAAAAAAGGTAGGAAATAGGCGGTACGTGTGACATAAATATACAGGGTGTTTCTCAAACATATATTAAAAATTCAAGGGATTCCTTGGGTCATTTTATGAAAATTTATATCCCTCGTAATTTTTCGAGAATTGTTTTGTTTCGAAGATACAGAGCGATAAAAATTTACAAGAATGCAATATTTTTGCAAAAATGTTACATGTAAAATGACTATCCACATTAAATCATTTATTTGAAACAAATAAATATTTTACAATTAAAATAAAATTAATGAAATAAATAAATATTTATCTGTTTGGAAAAGGATTTTCTTATATAAAATAAATATTTTTCAACTCAAATTAATATTATTAGTTTCAAATAAATTATTTATAAAGTAGTATTGAAATAAATATATATTTGAATTTAATACATTTTTTTCAATATAGAAGGAGTATTCCGTATTGAATTTTCGAAGAATCATCAGAAGTATGAATTTGCATAAAATGACTCAAGAAATCACCCCTTGAATTTTTGACATATGTTTAATAAATACCTTGTATAAACACATACAAAATTACACTGGTCAAAAAAATGATCGCAACACGCAATTAATATCAAAATTTTGCGTAAATTCAAATAAGCGTATCTCTGCGAAAAATTATCGTATTTGAAAAAATTTTTTTTTGTTTTAAAGGATGAAGTCTCTACTTTAAGAAACTTTCGTTCGATTTTGATTTCATTCTCTCCCCCTCTCTTTATCTCTTTAAAAAGTAAGGTGTGTTTTTCCCAAAAAATTGCAAAATTTGACGAACTCTGCACCGAAAAAATTGTATTCTAAGCGCCAAGAGGATCCTTTTAATTTAAGATGTTATTCTTAATTTATTCTTATATTTTCAGAAAAAAATATACTAAAATTTAGAAAAATTTTTTAAATTAAGAGGATTCTCTTGGTGCTTAGAATACAATATTTTTTCGGTGTACGGAGTGAAATAAATTTTTTTCGCAAATCTTATCTAAATTTTCGTAAAATATGGACTTTTTCCTACAAATTAAAAAAAAGCAAAGTTCGTACGATTTTTTTTGGCAGAGTTACGGCATATCAAAGTCTCTTCTAATATATGAAAAAAATGTATGATCCATACATTTGGAGAAAAAAATGTTGAACTCGCGATCTTAAACCACGTTCACGCAAACGACTTCTAATTGTTTGATCACTGATTCTGTGAGGGAGATCTTCATTAGCAATTTATCGCGGAACCATCGTTGGTGCGCGTCGGGTATCGCTAATATTAGTAATAATTGCACAAAAATGCATAGATTACTTTGATATGCTGTAACTCTGCCAAAAAAAATCGTACCAACTTTGCTTTTTTTTTAATTCATAGAAAAAGTCTATATTTTACGGAAATTTGGATAAGATTTGCGAAAAATAATTTATTTCACTCCGTAAAGTTCATCAAAAATTTTGCAATTTTTTGAAAAAAAAACACCTTACTTTTTAAAGGAGTGGAGAGAGGAGAAGAGTTTGAAATCAAATTCGAACAAAAGTTTCTTAAAATAGAGACTTCACTCTTTAAAACAAAAAAATTTTGCAAATACGGTAATTTTTCGCGGAGATACGATTATTTGAATTTGTGCGAAATTTTAATATTAATTGCGTGTTGCTATAATTTTTTTGACCAGTGTATATGTTTAATCAATATAATATTAGACTAAATTATGTGAGTATATAAATGATCTAAGTTTTAAGTAACTTCTCGCCCTTTCTCCATTTTCCGCCTTTATTTGATGTATGATAAGTGAATTTTTTTATTAGATTTCGACATGGTTAGAAAAGAATAAATAAAAAAAGCTGAGAATCGAATGGACTAAATACTGTAAATCACGAGATTTTTATCTTCAATTTTTACCTTTATGCAGTTGTTTCTTCACTCATATATGTAAATATATGAGTAATGATTATTTGCCAGATGGATATATATTTTCGCAGCTTCACGTAGAATACAGCAATTTTTATTTAGGATGCACAAATAATACGAATTTTCTATCTTATATCCTTGTTCACAAGAAAATATTCCATTCACTTTTCTGCATGTTCTCTCCTGGAGCTCGATTTAAGTTCTGTCTGAGGTTCAGCAAGAACTGACATAGTTTGAACTCTATTATTGAATCTTGACCCATCCTGACCACTGAGTGCACTGACCTTGAATTTATTTTTTGCGCATGCGCAGGCCAAAATTTAGGTAGTCAAATTTTTAGGGTTCTCTTGCCATACGTAAACGTTTTCTACCTGACCTTCAAATTAATCCTTCTCTGGACAACCATTCAAGCGAAAAAGTTATTTTTTCTAATAATTAAGAATTTTTCATAATTGTTAATAAATAACCATATAATTAATGTTGTTCATGTTGTTTAACTTATATATGTATAGAGCATTGACTATATTTGTCTTTTTAAAAGCAAGACATGTTTGGCCTAATTTTATATATTTATATATAATTTTACATGTTTATATCTAGTTTAAATATATCTTATATGATTGTATATCTTTTAGGAGGTACTAAATGTAAGATAAAAAAATAAAAGTAAAAGATTCTATCATAAATAAACTTTCGGCAATTCGTACAAGAGATTCTCTCAAGTCAGGATTGCAGGAAGAGGGTTTCAAATTTAATAACTCTCGACTCAGTAGGTGGTGGGAATTTTCTTTAAACGAAAAGAATAAACAAAAAAAGGGCGGAATTCCAAGTTTGCCTATTTCTCACACAACGGCATTTCTGAAACAGCGGGATCATATTTCTCGTGTCTGCATGAAAATCGTTATATATAAATTTTTTTTACAAATAATTTGACAATATTCTGCAACAGAAAACAATATTAGTAATTTAGAATAATAATAATAAAAATTTTATGCGCACGCATCATCTCATTTAGATTTCTCGTACATTGTATATTTTTTAAATTATATATGATTTCTACATTTCTAATTTCCACACATTTTATTTTGCCGTTTTTTTTATAAATATAGAAATGCATATTTATTTTATTTTATAATTAGTACAAGAATGTGTACAATGTTTTACAATTAGTACAAGAATATTATCTATAAAGAATTTAAAAGAAACAAAATCAAATGAATGAGACTATATTTTATAAAAATTATAGCAGAGAATACGTTTAAAAATATAAATTCCAATATTTTTATAAATATTTCCTGCTTTAAAACTTAAATGCATAAAACTTAAATTATAGCAGAGAATAAGCTTTTTAATACTTTTTACGTGGATTAAAATTTAAATCGAACATTTCTCTTTAAAATATATACTGTAACTGCAAACACGGCTATGTCTCTCTCATCCTATAAATTTTTAAAAATAATTAATAAATGTTATAATTTATTTAGTTTGTTAAATAAGAGGTTAATAGATTTGATTTAAATAAGAAAATCTATCTTTGATCTTTCGTCTTCTAATTCCTGTATATGATTTTTTTAGAGTAAAAGTTAAGATTTCGTGCAAAATTCTTTCGAAATGGCATTTAAATAAGCAAAATTAACTAAAATCATTCAATTATGATCATTCAAAGTTTTGATCCCAAAACATTTTTCTAATAAATTTAGGCCATAATTTAATATCATCAACTACGTCTGGGATTGCAAGCCACGGATTATTATTTATTTGCTCAACTAAGTATGGCATTTTATACTAATTTATAAATTATATGAATGTTTTGTATTTGAAGTGACAGGCAACTAGTCTATATTGAATATCCGCAGAAAATAAAGCGAATTTTACAGCTATAAATTATCATTTTCTTACTTAACGATATATCATAAAACTTTTCTTTTATCCTTTTAAGGTAAAACTTCAGTATAACGCTCTTACCTCGGATTTGGTTCTTAAATTTTAAAAATAGATTTATTTTGACGTGTAGAATATATTCTGAGAAGGAAATTTGTCGCCTATGAGCCGTTTTTTTAAAATTAATTAAAAAGCTTTATGATGTCGGTAAGTAGGAAAATGATAATTTATAGCTGTAGAATCCGCTTTATTTTCTGCGTATTTTTAATAGACTGGTGCCTGTCACTTCAAATACAAAACATTTATATTATAATTTATAAATTAACTTATAAATTTGTAAACTTACTTAAATTGTCATGTCAGCGAAGGAAGATAAATTCGATATAAACTTGAATATAAGTTTGACATATATCAAAATGTCGTAAAGATATAAAAAATGAAAAAAACGAAAATACTTATAATCGAACAGACAAGATTTCGAAAGCGAGTCATGAACAGCCTATGTTTATGTTTACGACCTTGTCGAGTTTATATCGAGTTTATTTTCCTTTGCTGACGATCTAAGTAAGTTCAGTATAACAGGAAGCACAGTCCGAGATAGTCGACAGTCTGAAACGATTGCAAATATCGACACAAGTTAAATTCTATAACGTAAAGTCATGGTCCTAGCAATGATTATAATGTGAAACAATTATTGAAGGCGGTGGAAGACATCAGTAAAGATGCAAAAGACGTTCCTATCATCGAGGAAAAAATCACAGAAGTAGCAGAAAACGTACGTATCTTTACAATTTATGTTTCAAAAATTTTTAGATATATTCGTGACATATTTTATGAAGATTTATCAATTTTTATTTTAAATATTGACACACAGAAAATTTTATAATTTCCTTTCGTTAGATAATATTACGCAATTTTTAATATATGTTAATCAATTCGTTTTGAATTTTTATACCGATCGGATAAAATAATGTATTCTTATAAAAGGTAAAATAAACGGGATATATTTAACAAATTTTATATACATTTGTATAATTTTTAATAATTTTGTATAAATATTTATTGGATTTCATATACATAAGCAAATAGAAAAGTTATTATATTTATATTGAGCGAGAAAAAAACATTAAAAATTGCCATGCTATCAAATTAATTTTTTGACATTTAATTTATTTTCTATTGTGCAATTTTTATATACAATTAATTGCATAATATATTACATATAAATATGTGTATAATATTTAGCAAATATTTTAGTATTATTTGTCATTCACAATTTTATTATACAAAGATTTTTGGTAATGTGTTGTGCGTTTATTTAAAATCACGAGCACTCTGGGATATTTGAAAATAATCGTTTATGAGTAAAATTGATTTCTATTTTTTACATTTTTTTTACATTTGAATAAATATTTTGATTGACATAGGTGATGAGGAATAATATTTTTAAGTAATTTGATGAAATAGTTTTTTCAGTATAAAACATAAAATACTACGACAAAAACAATAATCTTTTACTATATTTTAAAATAACTTCTTGCCATTTATTTACTTATTTAGTAATTTTTATTAAATAACTTACTTGCTAAAACAATTATTTATATTATATAGATATTTATTCAAAATTAATGATTTGCAATATCTAAAATATATCTAAAATAGGTTTTCTTCTGAAAAGATATTTTTTATTCATAAGAATTATTGATAATTTACAGTTTTTTTAATAAAAATTTTTTATTAGTAACTTATTGGTGACATATGTGGAAATATGTATAATCAGAACGTGAACTTGTTTATTTTGAAAGAATCGTTTTATTAGTTTTATTGATTTGGCTAAACTAGAATTAGTCGAAAATGAAATCCATATTTGAAATATATAAGGGTAGCGTTTTATAAAGTCAGCTATTTTTTATAGCTATTTTATTATGTTATATTTAAGTTTTTATTCCCATATAAAACTTAATATTTGTTTGCTCGATTATTTGAGAGACAATTCAAGTGCTTATAAGTAGGTAAAAAGTTATTTCGTGGGTATAAGACATTGTTATTAAGCTCTATAATGTCTTTCATATTTATTTCTTTACTTATTATAATATTTAATTCATTGCATAAAAGTTTGCACTTAGAAAACGTTTTTGTTTAAATTAATTTCATTCCAGTATAAGAAGTTCGAAAAAAATGCGTTTTCAGTGAATCACATATAAAATAAGAAGAAATTTAACTTGACTAACCTTTCAACTAAATTATTTTTACCTATTTTTGAATTGATTTCTAACAAATTTATTTATAATATATTAGTATTTAAATCAAATATACATTTTTGTTAGATTTAATATGCTATATTTAATTTAAATATATTTATATGCCAAATAAAAACAAATATACATATATATATATATATATATATATATATATATATATATATATTTAGTTGTAAGGTTTAATCAAGTTAACACATTTTTTTTCACTGTTACCTATTATCTTGTATTTTTTCACAGATAAACAGCTTAAACATGGAAGCAGGAAAGAAACTGAGTTGCTACGTGATTGCTCATTTTTCGCTATCAAAAATATGCAACGAAGTGGATGAAATAATAAGTCATCGTTACAAAACAGAAATAGGTATTTTAGGCATAAAATTGTTGTATATACCAATTATGATTGATAATTTCTTTTTGGGAACGATATTTTATAATAATGAATCTTTAAAGCAATACCCATTCCATTATATTGGAACCAGAGATGCTGATTAATTAATTACTTTTTAAATTAATTATGACATTTAATTACAAACAGATGTAATCAAATGTAATTAAAATATTTTGAATTGACGATTAATTTTAGAAAGATTAATTAGAGATCGTTACAATGACGATTGATATAAGCTAGATTAATCGAAGATCGCTTAATTAACGATTAATATGATCGAAGTCAATTGAAGGTTATTTAATTGACAATTGATATAAACGAAATTAATCGGAGAGCGATCGATTAAACGATTAATACAAGCTAATGAAAGTTTTTCAATTAAACGATTAATATGAGTTAATTTTAATTTGAAGTATTTTAATGGACGATTGAAAAAAACAGATTCGATCGAAGACAATTCAATTGACAATTGATTTGAGCAGAAACAATTAAAAAGTATATAATTGACGATTAAATATAGCAAATTTAATGCGAATCTCTTCCATTAATGATTGACTTAAGAAAATCGATATAATTTCTCTATTTCCATTAATTAACTATGTGTAACGATTAATAAAATTTAAATAAATTTAATCGAAGATGTTTGATTAATGATATTATAACATGACTGAATTTAAATAAATATGTTATGGAACCACTTATTATAGAAAAAAAATTATTCATCCGGAAACAAGGTCTGGAAAAATCTGTTTAAAATGTTATTCTTGCGTAGACTTTTAAATGCTCGTTTAACAATTTATCACAGTCGTCCATGTGTTTGGTGCCAAGAAATACGAGTAGGGTTACATACTCTTAGATTATTTCTGACAGATAAAAATTTATTTGTTAATAAACAAAGCCCGGAAGAGTTCCGCTTAAGTAGATATTTACATATACGCGCACATACATGTTTAAATACTTATTTAACAATTTATTACGGTCCACTTTGTGCTTGGTGCCAAAAAATATGAGTAGGGTTACATATTCTTAGATTATTTCTGACAGAAAAAAATTTATTTGTTAATAAACAAAGCCCAGAAGAGTTTCGCTTAAGTATTGTAGATATTTACATATACGCGCTCATACATGCTTAAATACTCATTTAACAATTTATTACGATCATCCCTGTGCTTGGTGCTAAAAAATACGAGTAGGGTTGCATACACTTAGATTATTTCAGACAGAAAAAAATTTATTTGTTAATAAACAAAGCCCGGAAGAGTTCCGCTTAAGTAGATATTTACATATACGCGCACATACACGCTTAAATAAAATTTAAATATTTAAATTCAGTCATGTTATAATATCATCAATCAAACATCTTTGATTAAATTTATTTAAATTTTATTAATCATGACACATAGTTAATTAATGGAAATAGAGAAATTATATCGATTTTCTTAAGTCAATCATTAATGGAAGAGATTCGCATTAAATTTGCTATATTTAATCGTCAATTATATACTTTTTAATTGTTTCTGCTCAAATCAATTGTCAATTGAATTGTCTTCGATAGAATCTGTTTTTTTCAATCGTCCATTAAAGTACTTCAAATTAAAATTAACTCATATTAATCGTTTAATTGAAAAACTTTCATTAGCTTGTATTAATCGTTTAATCGATCGCTCTCCGATTAATTTCGTTTATATCAATTGTCAATTAAAGAACCTTCAATTGACTTCGATCATATTAATCGTTAAAAGCGATCTTTGATTAATCTAGCTTATATCAATCGTCATTGTAACGATCTCTAATTAATCTTTCTAAAATTTATCGTCAATTCAAAATATTTTAATTAAATCTGTTCATATCATTTGTTCAATTTTAAAAAATTTAATTGATATTTTGCCAACTCTGATTGGAATTTAGCACTATTAATAGTGCAAGATTCTCATATAATGGAATAGGTATTGCTTTAAGGATTCATTATCATGAAATAGTTTCCAATAAAAAATTATCGATCATAATCGGTATATATATACACTATTAATAGTGCAAGGTTCTAATATAATGAAGTAGGTATTGCTTTAAAGATTCATTAGCGTGAAATATCGTTTCCAATAAAAAATTATCAATCGTAATAGATATGTACAATGATTTTGTATCTGAAATATCTTTTTCTACTTTGTAACGGTGACTTATTCTATCCACTTTATTGCACATTTTTTTGATAACGAAAATAAAACATTCTTAAATTTTAACATATTATTGTTAATTTGCGAGTAACTTATATCAAATGTATCAAAGTATAGCCACCGCTTTTGTAATTATGACATACTGAAGTACACACAACAATTATATTATATTTTCGCACACATATCATATAAAATTATAATATAACATTTTCCCTTAATAATGCTGATGACACAATCGATTATTTTATCGATTGATATAGATATTTAATCCAAAAATGTGTTTTTTTTTAATCATTGTACTGTGGATATTTGCAACATAGGATGTATGCAAAGATATAAGAAATCGAAGAGATATATATTTTTTTGTGCAACCGGTGCGCCAAAAGTCGCTCTTTACGCACATGATGAGATTTTAGAAAGGGCTCCCTTTCCACGCACTGGTCACACAAAATATCATAGCCAACATGTGCGGGTCATAAATCGGCCGATTTACGATCCCCCGCACTTTTAGCTTATATACTATTATTTTAATATACCTATATTTATATTAAAAATTTAGTATATAAAACATGTGCGGTATTTTTTCAATTAATTTGCTACTTTCGAAAATGCAATACTTTTCTGTTAACTTTTTTATTTCTGTTTAATTGTTTATTTTTAATTGTAATAAGGTAAAAAGAGTTAGGAGAAATAAGCTCCGTCTTTTTTGATTTTGCTAAAACTTTACAATATTGTGTATTTTTATGCATGAGAAACACGAATTTCTAAATTTATCTTTAAGATTGTTTCTTTTTTTCACAAATAAAGAATGCATATTTCTTTCAATTAGTACAAAAATGAATACCTATAGCGTAATTAAGAAGGTAATACGGATCAGATAAATAGATTTATTTTTTATGAATTGTGTACATTTAATATGACATTGTCTACACTTAATATGACATAGTTTTATAAGTGTTATAACAAAATTAAAAATAAATTCAAGCAATTATTAGACAAACATTAAAGGAATGTAATTATAGAAATATTAACGTATTTGCATAATTAGTAAGTTTAAAAGTTAGTTATAAATAACGCATATTAACGTATTTCTTTACGTATAAATAAATAAACGTAAATAACAATCTTATAGATGTAAAGTTTACATTAGAGTTTATATCGAATTTTTCTTCTTTCGCTGACATATGATGTCATGGAATTATCGGAGGTAGTGAAATTGATCAGTAAAGATGCACAAGACGTACCTATTGATAAAGAGAAAATCAAGAAAGTAGCGGAGGACGTACGTTTTTTTAACTTATGTTAAAAAACTTACGGATATATTCGTGACACATTTTATAAAGATTTATCAATTTTTATTTTAAATTATGAAGGCAAATTTTATAATTTAATTTCGTTAAAATATATCACGAGTTTTTTTCGATATGTTAATCAATTTATTTCAAGTTTTTAATCAATAAAATAAATTATTTTTATAAGGTAAAATAAAGGGGATATATTTAACAAATTTTATATAATATCGGATTTTAACAAATCACTTTGAAATTATGTATAATTCTTGTATAATTTTTAATTTTTTATTATTTTATATAAATATTTTTTTTGGATTCAATATACATAAGAAAATGGAAAGTATAGGCACTTTTCTAGAATGTATCAAATCATCCGATTACGATGTGGACAAATTGATGAAATTACTTTTTGATGAATTCAGCTTATATCAAGACGAAATAAAATACGATGGCAAAAAGGGTAATTAATTAATATTATAATATTGCAACACACATAATTTGCGAATTACACGCATGGAGATATTAAATAATAAAAAATCAAAAAAGTATTATTTTAATAGAATTTGATTAAAATAAATGACTAAATTTGTTTATAGTTTAGTGTTCTAATGGATTTCGTGAAAATTATTTATTTGACTAATACATCAATTGAGTATTAGATAAACATCAACAAATTTTTTTATTTTATAGCACTTTAATAATTTAATAATAAGATTCGTAAAATATAATTTAATAAGGTATTTGTTAATTATGCTAATAAATTATTGTACGTTATTATAATTTTGATTTTAATTTTTATAATTAATTTATTTCAGTAATTTTGCTCTTTTTTTTCTATATTAAATATTAATTTAGTTATTTTATTTTTATTATTTTTCAGTTTGTTTTCTTATCAAAGCGAGATCATTGGTGAGCAACATATGGAAATATTTTGATGAAAGACTTGAATTTGAACTGAACACAGAAAAGCTGATGTGTCTACGATATTCATTGATTATCGTATTCCTCAATTATTGCTTAATGTTAAACTTTTGCGCTACAGTGACGTACTCGTGAAGAGATTTGAAAATAACAGTAAGTTTTTTTACGAGTCGCAAAAATTTAATTTTTTAACAAATTTTTACAATTTAATGTTTTAACTCTACTACTTATATATATTCGTAATTTGATGAAACAGTGCATTCTTTTCAATACAAAACAGGAGAAACAATAATAATCACAGGAAACTTTTACTATAATTTAAAATATTAACAACTTTCTTTGTTAAAAAATATCTATATTACTACATTTATTTTTATTCTTCTGAACTTTTATTCAATTGAAGATTTGCAATATACAAGAAATGAATGAAGTGATTTTTTTTAAAATAAAATTTATTATTTATAAAAATTTCTGATTTACAATATATCTGTAATTGATGCACAAAATTATTTATTTTGCAAGAATAACTTCATAAATGTTATACTTAATATTTGTCTGAACAAAAATAGGAGACAAGAACAAAATTAATAGAGATATAGCATTTTATAAGGTTATTTGTTTTTTTTTATTATCATATATATGGTAAGACTTAATATGTGCTCACTCGATTATGTGAGAAAATTTGCGATTTTATAAGTAATTAGAAAGTTGACTTGTATAAACCATAAAAATTGTTATTAAACTCTAATTTAAATTTACGAGTCACTGTATAAGTTAGAACATATTATTTATTGCATAAAAGTTTGCATTTAGAAAATTTTAAATTTAATTTCGTTCGAATATAAAGAGTTTAGAATGCGTTTTCAGTAAATAGTATTAAAAAAATGGATTTTTTTGCAGATGAACTACTTGAGCATGGAAGCAGGGAAGAAATAGAGATACGCGGTTGTTCACTTTTCGCAACCAAAGAAATATGCAAAGAAGTGGTTAGATAACCAAGCCAGCATCGCCTACAAAAAAACCGTCTTCTAAACCGTATTTTTAAGTTAAAAACCGCGTTCAACCCACAGATTTTAGATGATAATTTTATACTCATAGAAACAGATTATTTCATAACTCGAACAGAAATGATTAAAAATTATGAATCTATGAAAGAGCCGAGCCATTATATTAAAACCGTGCACTACTAAAAAACTGTTGCTATTATATTTTTTTATATTAGTGCTGGTGACTAATAAAAATATAGCCACTACTATAGTGATAATGTTATATTGAGGTACACATAACAATCTCAGTAATATAATATAAAATTCTAATATATAAAATTTATCCTAAAAATGATGATGACGCATTCGATTTTTATTTTATTGAATGAGATAGATATTTAATCCAAAAATATGTTTTTTTATCATTATAATGCATATAAACATACGTAGATTTATCTGGAAATATCGATATGTGTTCGAGAAATTACATTGTATATTATTCTGATATATGCAAAAATAAAAGAAGTTCAAGAAATCTATTTTCTTTATAAATTTATTACTTGTAAATTAGAACTTTAGTTTATCATTGTAATAGAAGTTCTTTTTCTTTTACTTTGCTTACAAAATCTTTTATATAATTTTTTTTCGACAATTTAATTTTTAAAATTTATATGAAAAAAAGAAAGATATTTTTGTAATATTTATTAAATTAATTTAAATGTATTTTTCACTGACTGTTTTTATGACAGTACATTTTTACAGAATTTTAAATTGTATTGTCGTTTTTATGTATATAATATATTTATATTTGATAACTATATTCAACTTTGTTTCGCAGAGAAAATAAATCTATACTATTCTAAATATATATTTTAGAAAGAGAATAGGATAAATTAAGAGTTACAAATGTAGTTAATCTTAAAAGTAAAAAGTTATTTTGCAATTTGTATATATAATAGAATAAGAAATAATGCATATTTTTTAAGTTATATATTTTTCAAGTAATAATTTCTACAATTCTACATATTTAAATTTGCCTCTTTTTGACGAATATAGTTTGCTATTCATTTGAACTTACAATTAATGTTAGTACACAAATGTGTATCTAGCATATAGTAAAAAAAAATAAAAAATATAATCAGATAATTAGATCTATTTTTGATTGTTACATTCTCTACACTTAATATGAAATATCACAATATGACATAGTTTCATAAGTGTTAGGAGAAAGGTAAAAAATATAATAATTAGACAAGTGTTATATAATGTAATTAAATAATTAAATTAAATCAATGTAATTAAAATAAAAATATAAGCATAATTGTATAACAAAATGTTCAATATGAGTCTAAATGACGGACTTTAACGTATTTTTGTACATAAACTAATGTTTATGTTTACAACCATGTAAATGTTAAATTTTTGTTCAAGTTTATATCGAATTTATTTTCTTTCGCTGACATCTAAGATCAGTTCCACAGAAAGCATAGTTACAGATACTCAACAGTGTGAAACGATTGCCCATTAAAACGTGAAATCATGGCCGAGTATAATAGCAGCAACGATGTGATGGAATTATCGGAGGCGGTGGAAAAGATCAGTAATAATGCACAAGATGTTTTTGTCAACAAAGAAAATATTTCAAAAGTAGCAAAAATCGTATGTATTTTTACAACTTACATTAAAAATTTTGAAATATTTGCGACATGTTTTATATAAAAATATGTTAATTTTGTATTTTAAATATTCAAAGAAAATTTCATAATTTCGTTAAATTATATAACACATTTTCGTTACGTAAATCACTTATTTAGAATTTTTACATTGAAAAATAAGATACAGTTATAATAAAAAATGAATAAAATATATTTAAGAAATTTTATTTTGTATAGATTTTTTGGGAATAGTATACATAAGAAATTGAAGAAATTATAAATAAAGATTTGTGTATCGATAAAAAACATTAAATATTTTCTATTATCAAATTAATTTTTCGATAAAAATATTAGTTATCAAAACAATGATATATACCTTTCTGACTGTATTTTTATTATCGTTGTACGAATTATATTAGTTTTTTAGAATTCTTTTTACATTTATGGATAATAGATATTTTAATTTACATATAGATGATGCGTCATTTATTGAAAAATATTAAGGACTTCCATGCATATAATAACAGAAAGATAGCTGTAGCATTTCTACGTGATTTTGAAGACTCAGTAATAGCGAATTGGCTATTTGTGTTGCATACATTAAATTTCTCACTTTGGCATCGAACAGGTACTGGGCAATGGAAAGTTAATGATGCAGAAGGGTATTTTGGATTATGCTCTGCTTTAATACGGGCTACTCTAGTGAGTATAATATACTTATTCACTTTTGAATAACATAACTGACGTAACTAACAATATTATTAATTTCTTTCGTTGTACCTTCAGTGTGTAGGTTCAGTATTGTATGTCACATAATGAACATAAATTATATTAAGAGTTTAACAAGGCTCTGTAATATAAATATAAATTTAAAGATATAAGACAGGCAATAAGAGCCAACTCGCGGATGACAGTGCGTTATTTTAACGAAACTAAATTTTTTCGTTAGGATTAAGTATCTGTGCACAAGGCACTAAATTTTACTTGGTCACGACCAAGATTTTAAAATATGAAATAATCTCATATTTGAGATTTAATTTCAATAACCCTTTCACCCCCCTTGCGGAAATAAGTAAATGCAAGAGAAAAATATAGATCCGAAAGTCTCTATTTATACACTGAATACTTATTCACTTTTGAATAACATGATATGAAAACACTGACGCAACTAACAATATTATTAATTTCTTTCGTTATATCTTCAGTGTGTAGATTCAGTATTGTATGTGACATAATTAACATAAATTATATTATTTAAATTATATTAATTAAATTATATTAAATTATATTAAATTATATTAAATTATATTAAAATATATTATATTATTATTATTAAGAGTTTAAGAATTTTCAGAAATATCATTAAAGTTCTTCACTTTAATTCAATGTTTATTTTTACTAATACATTAAATTCTTTTGCCTTAGATAGCAAAGATTTTCTAATAATTTTTTGTGCTAAAATTGTTTTGTGTAATGTATATTAGTTGAACCCTTCTATATTCTGCATCAAACTTACTTGAAAATTTTTAATATTTATTCAATTAAACATTATGTATTGCAATTATATAGTTATTTATGCTATTTACAAAATTTAGATGATAACTAGACAACACAAACGCGTGCTTCGCGCCTTCCTTTGATAACATTTCCATTGTTCATTTTACAATCGTCAAATTGTTAATCTTCGCGATGACAGTTGTTTGATGCTATGACAGTTTGATCAGCTTTGTGCGAACCGCGCAAGGTAACGGATATATGGGGTATGGAGTTTTGCGCGAGTCTATACTGAAAGCGTAGATATTTACAATTAGTCACCAAAAATTCTTAAAGAAAAATTTATTTCTTCGTTCATATATGCTGTAAAAGATTTAAATATTGAATTTTTATGCGTTGCATAAATAATATATTTGTTATGCATTGATTGCGATAATAATTTTGTATGCATGTTTCGCAATTTTTGAGATTTTATTATCAAAGAATAATATAATATATAACTTATAGTTCACTTGAAAAGGACCAAAAACTATGGTCAAAACGTAGGGAGAGTATTCAATAAATTATTTGTAAGAACGGTTGAGAGGAGAGTGTTTATTATTTCTTAATATAACTTTGCTTCGCGTGCGTAATTATTATATTTGACGAAATTAAACAAAATTATATATATATATATATATATATATATATACACATTGTATATATACTATGATTTATGTATAACATTAAAACCTTTTATTTATTTTTTAATTAATAATGTATAATGTTTGCAAAAGGAAGGAAAGCCTATATGGGATCCTCATTATTACACAAAACTGACACCAGATGCGTTGGAGTACATTTTCCGAAGTGACAATGGCGAAACTCACATTCCGTTTTTAAAATTAAGACTAGAGATTTTACAAGATGTCGGACTAATTTTGTTGCATAAATATCAAGGTATAAATTCAGACATTACATGAAGATTTATAACTTATATATATTATTTTGTAATTAATGTATAGCAAAAAACTCTTTAAAGAATTTCTATGTTTTTTAAGAAAAGAGAAAAGAAATTCTGTTTAAGTTATGAAATGTAGATGTCATATAAGCAATACATGTTTTCCAATCATAAAAAATATATATTATTAATATTATTATAGGCACTTTTCTAGAATGTATCAAATCATCCGATTACGATGCAGATAAATTGATGAAATTACTTTTTGAAGAATTCAGCGTATATCGAGACGAAATAAAATACGATGGCAAAAGGGGTAATTAATTAATATTATAATATTGCAACACATAATTTGCGAATCACACGCATGGAGATATTAAATAATAAAAAATCAATAAAAGTATTATTTTAATAGAATTTTGATTAAAATAAATGAATAAATTTGTTTATACAATAGTTTAGTGTTCTAATGAATTCGTGAAAGCTATTTATTTGACTAATATATCAGTTGAGTATTAGATAAACATCAACTCATTTTTTTTTATTTTATAGCACTTTAATAATTTAATAATAAAATTTGTAAAACATAACTTAATAAGGTTTTTGTAAATTATGTTAATAAAGTACGTTATTATAATTTTGATTTTATTTATTAGAATTAATTTATTTCAATAATTTAGCACCTTTTTTGTATATTAAATAAAAATTTAGTCATTTTATTTTTATTATCCTTCAGTTCGTTTTCTTATCAAAGCGAGATCACTGGTGACTGACATATGGACATTTTTTAATGAATTTAAATTAAATACAAATGAACCGATGTCTACGACATTCATTGATTGTCGTATTCTTCAAGTATTGCTGAAGGCCAAACTTTTGCGCTACAGTGACGATCTCGCGAAGAGATGTAAAAATAACAGTAAGTTTTTTACAAGTTGCAAATATTTAATTAAAAAAAAATTTTTTACAATTTAATTCTTTAACTCTACTACTCATATATATATATATATATATTCGTAATTTGATAAAACAGTGTATTTTTTCAAT